ATAAAAAATTTTCCCCTGTCTTGCTGGACTCCAGAGGGGATTTCAAAGATTGCTAGTTGTGTTGGTGTTCCACTGGCCGTTGATGCCCTGATTGCCGCAAAAACCAGACTCACTTTCGCTCGTGTGTGTGTTCAGGTTAGCAGCTCCTCTCCCTTGCCGGATGAAATTTATTACACGGTGGATGATAAAACCTTCCCTCTTACCGTTATATATGATTGGAAGCCTGTGCCTTGCACTTTTTGCAATTCTATCATGCATTCCCAAACATCCTGCCCTAATAACCCCAATCCTATTATCACTGAACCTCCTCCGAACAGGGGCAGAAGCACCAGTAGAAAGCCTCGCAAAGCTCCACCTCCTCCCCTTAATATCCCCAGACCCCCCATTCCTGCGATCACCCAACCCAACCTTCAATCTACACCTATCACCACCTCCTCCCAACCTCCACCTCCCACCACCACCACCCAACCCTCCATTGATATTCCATCCTCTCATGCTGCCCTGCCCAACCTCAACTCTCCTTCCACAGAGACTTCAGATTTACCGCCCCCTAATCCTTCGCTGCTTGATGCAAACCTCATTCAATCCACCCCCATTTCCTCCACTCCACTTCTGAACTCCCCTCCCATCCCTAACACGAATAAATTCTCAGCCCTCTCTGTTCAAGATAACTCTTCCATTATCATGAACACCAATTCCAGTGCAATGGGTGATGTCGGGCAGCCTCTTAATTTTGCTCGGGTAACACCTGGCAGCTCATCCCTTAATAATGACAAAACTTCTACCTCACAGCCACCTACTTCTAATGCCCAACCCAAAGTCACCAGAGGAAAATCGTCCAAGAAGGCCACCACCCCTACTTCCAAATCCCAATGACCAGCCTTCCTTTGTTGGCGGCGTGGAACACCCGTGGGTTCAATAGCCCAGGAAAAACTTTGTGTTGCAAGAAGCTTGTTAACACTTACAATCTTGACCTTATTTTCATTTTAGAAACTAGAATTTCTACACCCAACAACAGCAACAATTGGTTCCTTTCAACACACGCCATCTTCCCTCATGAAGGTTCTTATGATAACTTTGCTCTTGCTAGTCCCAGCAGAATTTAGGTTAAGTGGAACTCATTGAATGTGAGCTTTAACCCTGTTTTTACTTCTAGTCAGTTGATTCATGGTCAGGTTTTTTATGGAAATGCGGAATCTTTTTTGGTATCTGTGGTCTATTCTTCAAATTCTTTGGATGAAAGGCAAAATCTTTGGAGGGATCTATTGGATATTGCTGACAATATTAATTCCCCTTGAATCATTCTTGGGGATTTTAATTGTTGTCGCTACACTAATGAAAAGGCTGGGGGGATCTTTTCTTACTGATAGTAAGGTTTCTGATTTCAACAACCTCATCTTTAACATTGGTGCACATGATCTTTCTTCTGTGGTGCACTTTTTCACTTGGTTTAATTAACGTACCAACAACCCTATACATATTAAGTTGGATAGAATGCTGGTAAATGATGCCTGGTTACAGACTTATCCTAGTTCTTATTATCTGGTGGATGACCCACAGATATCTGACCATTCTCCTATCATTTTGCATAATGTCAACAAAATTCAGCGCAAGCATAGATTTCTCTTCAAGAATTACTGGGTTAATAAACCTGAATTTTGGGACGAACAGATCTCTGTGTTCTCCCAAAAATATCACAGCAGCCCGATTTATTCCTTCTATCAGAAGCTTAAGACTCTTAAGCTTAACATAAAATCTAAGAATTGGGTTTCTTCTATTGACCTTCAATCTAAAATTACTGAGCTCAAGAGCTTCCAAAATCATATTCTGAGGCAAATTCATGATGCTCCCCTTGAACCACATCTTAATCTGGCATTGAAGGAGGTTAATCACAAGCTTCTTGAGAGAAATTCCAACTGGTCTGATTGGGTCATTCAAAGAGCAAAAGCTAAATGGTTATCTTGTGGGGAGGATGATCTTAAATTCCTCTATTCTAAGATCAATGCTCGGCATAACACCAATTTTATCAAAAGCATCACAACATCTGAGGGGACCTTTTCCGATCCCAGTGAACTCAACAATGCCATTGTCCGACATTTTCACAAGCTATTCAATACTGCTCCTCCTCATATTGCTTTTGGGAATGCGCCTATTTTTCTTACTGTTCCGGATAGCTTTGCCACCCAACTTGTTGCTCCTGTCACCATTGATGAAATTAAACATGTTATCTTCTCTGCACCCAATTCCTCGGCCCCGGGGCCTGATGGCTACTCCTTTGAATTCTATAAATCCACGTGGCGTATTATTGGGAAGCAGCTTTGTGGTGCTATTTTATCCATTTTTTCCACTAGCTTTATGTCTAAGCACGCCAAGGCCACAGCTCTTGCTCTGATTCCTAAACGACCTCATGCTCAAGACATTACAGATTATAGACCTATTTCTCTCTGTAATACCTTTTATAAAATCATTGCCAAGATTTTAGCAAACAGAATGAAGGATGTTATGTCATATATTATCCACCCTAGTCAGTCTGGCTTTATTAAAGATAGAATCATCACTGATAACATTTTGATTGCGGATGATTTGCTTAAGGAGTTTAATAAGAAAGGCAACCAAAAATACTTTTGTGCTAAATTTGACATTCACAAGGCTTTTGACATGGTTTCAAGAGAATTCTTACTTAGACGACTGATTGCAAAGGGCTTCCCTACAGCCTTTGTTTCCTGGATAAAAGGTTGCATTTACGACGTGCATTTCTCTATATCTATTAATGGAGCTCTTGAAGGTTACTTTAACTCTTCTTCTGGCTTAAGGCAAGGGTGCCCCCTTTCACCCTATCTCTTCTGCATTGTTATGGACAGTCTTTCTTCCTGTTTTGAGGAAGCCAATCTCAATAACACCTTTAAAGGCTTAGAAGCTGGTAATGAGTCCTTCTCCCATCTCTTATACGCTGATGATCTTTTGGTTTTTGCCAAGGCCAATGAAAGTAATGCACACTCTCTCAATGAGATCTTACTCAATTTTGCTAATTTCTCTGGCTTGAAAGTGAATAGCAATAAGAGTTGCATTCAGTTTTCTATGAATACTCAGTATGACCAGGAGATTTCTAATATTCTCAACATTCCAATCTCTTATGCTCCTGTCAAATATCTTGGAATCCCTATTTTTAGCAAGAAGCTCAAAATTTCTGATTTTCAACCACTTATGGTTAGAATTATGACCTCCCTTGATGGCTGGAAAGCAAAATCTCTATCTATTGCGGGCCGTTTACAATTTTTGAAATACACCATTTTCAATATTATTAGTTATTGGGTGAGAGGCTCCTTAATCCCCAAAACATGCATCAAGAAAATTAACAGCCTTTGTTCTCGGTTCTTGTTTTATGGTGACATTCACAAGAAGAAAATTCACATGATTTCTTAGAAAGATACTTGTAAACCTAAAACTGCTGGAGGATTGGGTATTCCTACAATTGATTCGTTATATTTTGCTTTTGGTTGCAAAACTATTTGGAGATTCTTCAACAATGATGGCTTACTATTTAACTGGTGGAAGGCCAAGTATCATTCTTTTTGGAATTTCAGGATCACTAAAAACTCATCATACTGGCATTTTCTTTGTGATATTGCAAAATCTTTTAGGCAAAATCTGACTCTTAATATCACTGCCTTCAGTAAGCTTTCTTTTTATTGGGATCCATGGTGTAAGGATCTCTCTGTCGCTGAAAGGCTGGTTAATGATAATATGGAAGATTTAATTCCCTATTTCGATTGTTCTGTTAGTGATTGTTTTTCTGCTGGCACTTGGTCTTTACCTTCCTCTATCCCTTCGAATTTGGCTGCTTTGATTTTTTATGTATCAAACTCTGGTAACACGGTGGTTTCTAGCTGGAATAGCAATGACAAACCTTCTTTCCACACTTTTCATAAGAAGTTTTTTCAAGGTCTGGAAACTGTACAGTGGTCTAATTTTATTTGGTTTAAACATCATGCTACCCGTTTCTCTATATACTCTTGGATGGCTTTTAGGAATGGGCTTAAAACTGCAGATGCTTTGATCTCCAGGGGTATTCCGGCATCTCCTGAATGTGTTTTTTGCAAGACCGACAAGGAAAATATTAAACATCTTTTGTTTGAATGTGATTTCTCCTATAATATTCTTCTAAATACTATTCCTCAAATGAGTTGCATGCTTTTTAGACCAAATCTGTGGCAAGTTTTTAACACCATTGAGGAAGGGGATATGGATTACAGTCGGAAAAGCCTTTGCTATCTCTTGCTTACTGCTATTGTTTATTACATCTGGAAGGCTAGAAATGACAGGCTATTTGGGAATATTATTGACTGTCAAACCACTGTTTTTGGGAACATTAAAAGAGTTGTTCTGCTTAAGATTTTGAAGAAGAAATGCTTTCAAAATTTACATCATTGGTTGGAATGAATTGGCTAGAGCTCCTGGGCTGGCTCTTTTGGACTGTGGAAGTTTATCACCTAGACTATTTTGGTTACCTGGACGGCCTTCTTAGGCAACCGGGCAACATGGTTTTGAAGGGCAATGATGAATGCAACATTATTTCTATCCCCTTAGATGGTCTCTTCGGCAACCAGGGGACCAAATCATCCGACTGGATGAATTTTGACGCTTTGGAGTTTAACTTGAGGGTTGCAACCTGAGCCCTTTTTATTATTATTCACTTTTCTTTTCTGCACCCTTTATTGTCTGTTTTTTATTGGTTTTCTGCAGCTTTATGCTGATAGTTTAGACTAGCTCTCTTTTATTCTGCAGCATTTTTTGTGGCTGATAGGATTTTGTTGACTGGTAGGTTGTGGTGGCTGTCAATTTTTTACTGTAACTCTTTTTATATTATATGAAATGGGCTACGGCCCCAAATATTCCAAAAAAAAAATTATGGCGCCGTTCACATTTTTTTGGAGCAAAATTGAATCTGTTTTAAATTACAAAATTTTCCCGTACTGCACGTCTGGTTGTACGGAAGCGACAACCTGCAGAAATAACGCGGAGGTTAGACAAATTATTGATGAGCGTGACACTGGGCTCTTGACGATCTCAAAGCATTTCGAATGGCCGACCTCGATCTCCACAGTTTCTCATGGACCCAGCTCTCATGGAGTAATGGATCCCCAAGCACTTTGCATTCTTGAAAACCTTTTTGATTGTTTCAATTGATCTGCTTCCGTAACTTGCTGGCAAAGAAGGACGACAAAATCGAGGTAATTGAAGCGCCGGTCTTCACTAGTGGAGCTCCAAATGTTTGGGTTCTCATTGCATCCAGCTTCCTTCAAAGTACAATGATTTATCAATTCTTCGCTATCTGCCTTTCTTTGTCTAAGCCGCCTCATGTCTTTTCCCGCGCTGAGTCAACCTAATTCAGGGGAAGTTCCTCAACCGCGCCGGATAGTATCAGTATATATATTTGCGGCAATGCGTTTCCGTTTTATGCCCCAAATTGCGATTTGGAAGAGAGGAAAGAGGAGGAAGATCATTATTGAGCGGTACGGATGATCTAGTGTCAGCGGTGGAGAATTGGGCTGTGTTCGACTCGTTAATTAGTCGGAGGTATTATTCGTTTGACATTTTTTCCCTTGGTGATTCGGAATGGAATCATTTTGTGGATTAGGCGTGGGGATTGAAAAGGGGATCAACTGTTATTGTTTTATTCTGATTGGAATTCAAAGCAGTTTGTCTTTGCTTCGTTTTATAAATGGAAAATGGATATTTCCTTTTGCTAAGTTGGAATCTCTTTACATCTGGATTTTCTGTTGATTTTTGGGTTGATTTCATGTTCGTGTAAATTTTATGCTCGACGGATTTCTTCTCAGAAACTATGTCATTGATCTAATTGGGAAAAGAAATTATGGTAGCATAATTGTATATGAGATCAATATATTTTTTGCCCGTCGCCTATCTTCAATTTGACAAAACATTAGAAGTATGAAAATATAATGATGATAAAACGTTGTGAAAGTGTCTTTTGAGGAGTTGCTTTATAGAAGCTTTTCTGATTTATCCACCGAGTTCAATTTTTTTTCTTTCCTGCAGATAATTCTTTCTCAAGTGATTGTGTGCTGAAGTAATGGAAGCTTCTATGGATGATAAGTCACTCGAAGCTATTAAACAGGAAGCTGTTGATTTGGTATCTATATACCCTCCCTACATAAAGAATTTGCTTATTTAATTTGAACTTTTCAACCCATTGATTTATGAATGGAGACAAATAGATTTGCTGCAAAATTATACCCGATCATAACTTGCTTTTCCCTTGAAGTTCCTGAATTAACTTAATGCTTTCTTGAATAACCTGATAAAAGTTCAATGTTTAGTTGAATTGCTAGTCTGGCACAATTAAGCTTCAAATACTGTTGTCGTTGATCTTTTACAAATGAAAGTCTAGTACTTTTTTATATTACCGTGGTTCAACTTAGTAATTTAAAGCTCTTAGAGAATCGAGAACTATTTGTTCCTTCTTAAATATCCTTTTCTTCTTGAATTCCTGGTAAGTTGATTGAATGCATGAACAGACTCTGTTTCACCTTCTGTTTTGTCGAGCATGATGACTCAAAATGTTGTTTTACATGATAATATATCTCATCTTAATTTTATTTTGCAGGAAAATGTACCTATTGAGGAGGTTTTTGAGAACTTGAAATGTACAAAAGAAGGTTTAAGCTCTGATGACGTTCAGAAGCGGCTCGCTGTGTTTGGCCATAATAAGCTTGAAGAAAAGAAGGTCTGGCCGGACACATTTGAGTTTTTCTGATGTATTCAGCCTTCATGATTTTTTTATTTTTTTTGCAGGAAAATAAAGTTCTCAAATTTTTGGGATTTATGTGGAATCCACTATCTTGGGTCATGGAGGCGGCAGCTATCATTGCCATTGCTCTCGCGCATGGTGGACGTGATTTGCGAGGAGAGGTATCAATTTTGGTTACACTATCAATTTATAAAAATTGTTTTTTTTTAATTGACTGAATGCTTGGATTCAACTCCTTTTTATTATTATGGTAATTTAGTTATGAATTTCCTCCTATTCTTGCTAAGTTACGCATGAGAATGGAAACTAGTTCACAATTAAAGTAATTGTTGAGTTTCTAATATCTTGTTTGTTTCCATTAGCCATTGATGCAAACTTCCATGTTGATGAGTTTTTATCCATTAATATATTAGGCTTAACTTTGGCTTTGGTATGTCACCTTCCTATCAAGTTGTATTAGAGCCTCAACTGGATTATATATTCCATGTGGTTTGTGTTTCAAGTGGATCTCTATTGCTTCTACCACGGCTAAGCAATATTCAAGAACAGTGTCTTTCACATAGGTTCCATGTAATTGAGTGAGCTGTGAGCTCTTAGTTCATGACATCTAATGTTATTGAGAAGTTTTCTTTTCAATGGGAGTGATGGTTGATATAAGAACTTTCATATAGGGAGCGATTGTAAAGATATGCAAGAGGGAAAATAATTACATATAAAAAATTAAAATAAGAGTTGAGTTTTTATTCTTGTTTAATTAGGAGAGGAAGAGAGAGTTAGAAGGTGAATACAATAGAATAATGAGAAGGCAATAGAGATGTTGCTTTGCAATGATGTGACCAGGCTTGGGCATGATCAAAGGTTGACCAGCCTAATGTTGATCTTTTATTGTCCAGTTCAGCTCTAAGCAAGTATGATTCAACTGATACAACTAAGTTGACTCGATATTTCATTCTTGGATTTCCATCAAAGTTTAACTAGCTTCAAAAAATTTACTAAATGAAAATGGGGTTTTTAACTAACATAGAAATGTTATGAACAAATTTTACATTAGTGTTGCTACTGCCAGCGTCACTGCAATTCCTACTATTGCAGCGGCTGCTATTACAGTAGACCTTCTTATTGTTGTTCTTCTTCCGATTGCTTTTGTTATATTGTTTACCATTATATATTGGATTAAGAACCACGTGTGTGATGAATCTTTGTCTTGCATTTAATTCTGCTTTTCTTTTTTAAATAATTCTTTTTTTCTTGCAGAAGAGAGAAATTGATTACCATGACTTTGTTGGCATTTTGGTTCTACTTATCATTAATTCGACAATCAGCTTCATAGAAGAAAATAATGCCGGTAATGCTGCTGCTGCACTAATGTCTCAACTGGCCCCGAAGGCTAAGGTCCTTTTTCTGCCTTTTTGTCTTTTTGTCTTTTTGAAGGCAAATTTTGCATTTCCTGATAGACAGCTTAGTGTTGCCGTACTGATTCTTATCAATGCCCCAAATATTGTTATCAGGCTTTAAGAGATGAAAAATGGAACGAGATAGATGCTTCAATATTGGTTCCAGGTGATATAATCAGCATTAAACTTGGCGACATTGTTCCTGCTGATGCACGTCTTCTTGTAGGAGATCCTCTGAAAATTGATCAGGTACATGTTCTTGAGCATGCATTAAATACTATTGGGCATGAGTGATAGAATAATTTTCTCAATATGAGTGCTGGCGTTTTCCTATTTCCAACTCAGTTGGTTCAGTAGTGATGAGCTTATCATCAAATCTTTGTGAGTTAAAAATTATGTTGTATGTTAAGCATTGGCCTTATCCCTTGAAGATTTTAGTTTATATGTGTAGGATTAATCATTCACTTACCTTGTACAATTTTTCAAACTCTATACAGATCCAACTTTGGATGCTTATGATTACAAATTGCTAAAGATATCTCTAGTTGCATATTGGTTGTAAATGTTTGTAGTAATTCCTAATTAGGCATGATAAAATGGTTGCCGTACTTTTATTTTTCAGTCTGCTCTTACTGGAGAATCCCTACCAGTAACTAAGTACCCTGGTGATGCTGTCTACTCTGGTTCAACTTGCAAACAAGGAGAAATAGAAGCAGTGGTTATTGCTACTGGAGTTCATACTTTCTTTGGCAAAGCAGCTCATCTTGTGGACTCCACTAAGCATGTTGGTCATTTTCAGAAGGTATCTGTTGTTCCTAGCGACATTGGATTGCCCGTCTTTCTTTCTGAACTGTTAATATTTGAAATTGCTTGCATTTGAAGACATGTAAGCATCTTTTTTGGAAGGATTGTATTGGACATTTACTTATTTCTCGTGCTGCAGGTTTTAGCTGCCATAGGGAATTTCTGTATATGCTCAATTGCATTTGGAATTATTATTGATATAATAGTGATGTGTGGAGTGCATGGAAGAAAATATAGAACCGTCGTTGATAATATTCTTGTTCTACTTATTGGTGGCATTCCAATTGCCATGCCCACTGTCCTTTCTGTCACAATGGCCATCGGATCTCATCGCTTGTCTCAACAGGTTTACAATTTATATGCTTTTACAATTATTTATTGGTATTTTTTTTTATTCTCCAACATCAAGATTATATGTTGAACACAGCTGGTAGATTGAGGAATTTATTGTGGTTTTTCAATATTGTAGGGTGCCATAACAAAAAGGATGACTGCTATAGAAGAAATGGCTGGGATGGATGTTCTATGCAGTGATAAAACAGGAACTTTAACACTTAACAAGCTCACTGTCGACAAGAATTTGATTGAGGTCATATTTCTTACAATCCATGCAACTGAACTTTAACTTAGCATGAACTGCAGTTATTGCAACATCAATTAGCATGATAATAGATAGATGTTCATCTGTGAATTTACATGAGGCAAAATTTGTAGGTTTTTTATTTTGGGAAGGGTAGCTAAATGGTTGTATGCATCTCGATTTTTCTGAGCTTTCACGAGCAAGGGGATAGCTTAAGAAAATGTATAGCCTGAAACCCATTTAATGGTTGTGAGAATCTCGACTTTTTCTGAGTTCTCATGTGCAAAACGCTTGTCATGTTGATCAAATATAATTTGAGTGCCAGGAACACGTTAGAACTGACCAATGTTGTTGCAGGTCTTTGCCAAAGGTTATGACAAGGATTTGGTAGTATTAATGGCTGCAAGGGCATCAAGGCTTGAGAATCAGGATGCCATTGATGGTGCAATTGTATCCATGTTGCCGGACATGAAAGAGGTAAAATGAGTTTGAATGTTGTGTTGAGGTCCTTGCAGCTTATTACACTTTGCCTAACTTTGTGCGTAAATTTCATCATCATTATATTTATTCTAATTATTTGGGGTTAGTTTTATGAATCGTTTTTTTATTCATTACCATTGAGTGATGCTTAAGGTGTCAAACATATTCTTCTTAAATCATTTTGAACATGTTCTATCCATTTTACATTAGATTTACTCTTCTATTTCTAATCCTCTAATACTATTTTTTTCTATTTTTCTAGCTGGTGCATCTTTAACCATAATATAAATACACACAACCACCTAGGCTTTTTTATTTTTCTTATATTCAATAAATGTTACTCCAATTACTTTAATAATATAATTATTTATTAATTTATCCTTGCTAGTTGCAGCACATCCATTCCAATATTCTCATTTCTGCCACATTTTAGATATTAGTGAATTTTTAGCTTCTTAGGTTCCACAAATGGACATGAATTCTAGGCACGTTTGCTAGTTCAATTCTCTATTCCTTTGTTGCACATTATACTTTAGATTTCATTTCTGATTTCTAGTTGTGAGTAAAACTGCTTGTTCATGTTAGAATATTTGGATCATTTGTATTTTATTTTCATTTATATAAGTTTGAATAATGCTTCTCACCCAATTTTTTAATTGCTATAGGCGCGTGCTGGTATTCAAGAGGTTCACTTCCTTCCTTTCAACCCAACTGACAAGAGAACAGCTCTCACATACATAGATGCTGATGGTAAAATGCACAGAGCAAGCAAAGGTGCACCAGAGCAGGTATATATCAGTTTTCTTAGTTAATCAGATTTAAGTGTAGGTAACTTTTTCTTTTAGACATGTTGGAATCGGTCTTCTGGTGCATTTAGCACTCTGAGTACTCTTAGTACTTCGGTAATACAAGCACTTTTAAATTATTAAATAAGCGAAAAAGTTTCTGTCATTTTTTTTTTAATTTTATTTTAAAAAAACTCAAATAGCAATAGTGTTTTTGGCTGGTAAAGGAATACAAACTGTATTTTCTACAACAAAAAAAGATAGTATGATCTGGAGAATTACAACAGAGTTAAGCACCCATCATGCCCACTGAATTAAAATTTTGAACGTTCGCAGATTCTCAATCTTGCATGGAACAAGTCAGAAATTGAAAGGAAAGTGCATGCAATTATTGACAGATTTGCTGACAGAGGGCTTCGTTCCCTTGCTGTTGCATATCAGGTTAGTCAGTATCTAATTTTAGACTTTTAGTTTAGCAAATGGTTTTTTTATCGTCTTTGTGATTTTATTTTCTATGTTCTTTGTTGATGAGATATTATTTTCCACTGTATTGTTTAGGCTGTACCTGAGGGGTCCAAGGACTCTGCTGGAGGACCATGGGAGTTTCTTGGACTTCTTCCACTGTTTGATCCTCCGCGCCATGATACTGCTGAAACAATTCGAAGAGCTCTGAACTTAGGAGTTAGCGTCAAGATGATCACAGGTTTGTCTCTTTTGGCTTTTCATGCTATTCATTGTGAAATGCCAGAATAACTAGTAGCAGATTATTTATTGCTTAATCTACATGTGTATACTCAACTGGATCTTCTTCTTTTTTTTTATTATAGTAAATACTTTTGTTGATGACTTTTTTTTTTTTCAAAAATATCATTTACCATATGCCCCTTTGTGCAAATTTTGTAGGTGATCAGCTAGCCATCGCCAAGGAAACCGGTCGGAGGCTTGGAATGGGCACTAATATGTACCCATCGTCATCCTTGTTGGGTGAGACTAAGGATCAGGATGCTGCAGGCCTTCCTATCGACGAGCTCATTGAACAGGCTGATGGTTTTGCTGGGGTTTTTCCAGGTACCTTTTGTTATTATTATTACATACATACTATTTTATTTCATGCTATTTACATATCTAACATCAAAAATATTAATATTACATACATACCATTCATATACAACTTTAATATCAAATATATTACTCCTGTAATTCTTTTCTACCATTCATACTATTCTATAAACTTTAATATTTCATTTCATGCACCAAAATTTGTTCTATGGACGGTAGGCTTGTAATTTTAATATTTTTGATGTTAGATATGTAAGTAGCATGAAATAAAGTGGTATGTATGTAAATCTCCCTAAATTTTATTGGAACAAACTATACTGAATCTAGTTCTTTCGTCTTATAGAGCACAAGTATGAAATCGTGAGGAAACTTCAGGCTAGAATGCATATCTGTGGGATGACTGGTGATGGAGTCAATGATGCACCTGCACTGAAAAAGGCAGATATAGGAATTGCTGTGGCTGATTCAACTGATGCTGCTCGGAGTGCTTCAGACATAGTTCTTACTGAACCTGGATTAAGTGTGATAATTAGTGCTATTTTAACGAGCCGTGCAATTTTTCAGAGGATGAAGAACTATACGGTATGTTAAAATTTGACATAGTATGTTTTTGCAACACTTGGGGCCAATCTAGTTTTAAAAAATGCTGTGATATTCTATATCATATCTTTCTTTTGGAAATGGAATTAAACAAAACTTCTTTTGTTAATGGAATCTTCTGCATTATGAATGTTATAATAGAAAGAATAACATTGTTATTTTTATTTTAATTATTTTGTACTTCATATAGAAATATTTCAATGCTGAATTTACTGATGCTGATGGCTATTACATGCCTTTATTTTCCAGATATACGCCGTTTCAATCACTGTCCGTATTGTGGTAAGTACCTAGTAATGTATTTTCATTTTTCTGTCATATCGTATTATGCTCTCTCTCTCTCTCTCTCGGTGCATGGCGTACATTCATATTAGCATAATTTAACATTATTTTGACATGTTCACTTCCCATGTTGACAGATTGGATTTATGCTGCTGAATGTCTTTTGGAAATTTGATTTTCCTCCATTTATGGTTCTTGTAATTGCAATTCTGAATGATGGTTTGTATCAAACTTATAGCTTGTCAACACAGTTTCTTTTTGCCATTTGATTACACTCATTTTGATCTCTCATTCTCCTAATAGTGCATTATTCCATTCCCAGGAACCATCATGACTATTTCCAAGGACAGGGTCCGACCTTCTCCACTACCTGACAAGTGGAACCTCACTGAAATTTTTTCGACTGGACTGGTACTGGGAACCTACCTTGGTCTGAGCACTGTTTTATTCTTTTATGCAGCTCATCAGACTGATTTTTTTGAGGTAAATATGCTTCTAGATTTTGAGCTGCATTTTCTGATATTTTTTCAATGTATAACTACATGGTAGTATTGAACAAAGTTTTAATACCAGTTCCATGAGAACTATTATAGGCCAATTTACAGAAGGTGAGTCTATAAGCACTTTCTATCCTTGGAGCCTCATCATCTTGGTGATTAGGGTTTAATAGCTAGATAAATTGTTAACTGGAAGTTAATCTTGAATCTTCCAAACCATCTGTGATACTGATCTACTAGTTACCTTCTCTACAGAAAATTTTCAAAGTCAAGAACTTCAACAAGAACAAGCTAAACCCACAAGATGACCTCGCACTCTTCTATAATGGGCAAGAGTTGGCTTCGGCTGTATACCTCCAAGTCAGCACCATTAGCCAGGCTTTAATATTTGTGACACGCTCTAGAAGCTGGTCTTTCTTGGAAAGACCTGGTTTTCTTCTTGTGGCTGCATTTTTCATTGCTCAACTGGTCAGTATCTCTTTTGCCATCTTGCTTTTTAACGATTATTTTCATGTCCTCTGTAAAGTTAATATTTTCTTTAAATGTTGATTTATAATTGAGCAAAAGTGAGCTCGCTGTTGATTTAATTAACTTTGAATTATATGCATCTCATAATACTAATGGAAATAACATTGCTATCTTTGGAAATCTGTGAGTTCAGGTGTTGTTAGGCTCGAATAAACATCTGCACCCATCGTTATTGTGTTGATGTTATTCTTTCTTGTCATAAGACATTTTTAAAAGAAAGTATCTTGCAAAATATGAAGCAGTGTCATTTAGTTCAAGAAAATCTCCTGAATCTTGAGGTGAATTTTGAGAATGATAGACTGAACCAAGCGATCTCCTTTGTCTGTGTGGCTGGAGTTGGGGGAGATAAGGAAAGCAAAATGTTTAGAGGTGTTACCATTTGCTACATAAATAAAACAATACTAATAATAGTAATTATAAATCTTTTGGCTTTCACTATATTCTCATATTTAAATTTATATATTGCTCTTCTCATTAGAGCATTTGCCAAATTAGATTCCATAGTAATCAACTCCAGGAGGACTATCAACAAAATGTGAATCCCATATCACCATTTTTATTATCAACACATTACCCAGAAAATCTTAGAACGCATTACCTGCAGTAGAAACTTACCAGTAAATTTTGCTTTTACCAACATTAATTATCTGTATCGTTAATAATATATTTAAATATTTAACTAACATCTCGTCCTTTTTTTTTCTCCCTAAATTCATTTGTTACATGAGGGATCTAGGCTATAGATTTCAAGAAAAAAGCTAATTTTGAGCACTTGGATTTATTTATGTAGATTGCAAGTGCGTTGGCTGCCCTTGCCAACTGGGACTTTGCTGGAATCAGAGGAATTGGTTGGGGCTGGACAGGAGTTATCTGGTTGTATAATATTGTTGTCTACTTACTACTTGATCCACTTAAAATTGGAGTTCGATATGCCATGAGTGGGAAAGCTTGGAACTTGGTCTTGGATAATAAGGTGAACAACTACCAAAGTTTCTTACATGAATATGATTCATACTTATTCTCATTGTGACTTTATGCCTACATATGAATTTCTCAGATGGCTTTCACAAGAAACAATGATTTTGGTCGCGATGCCCGTAAAGCCGCATGGGCTCTCGAGCAGCGAACGCTTCATGGTCTTCAGACCACAGAGCCAAAATTCTCTGAGCGCAGCACATTCTCTGATATTAATCAGATGGCTGAAGAAGCCAAAAAACGTGCAGAGATAGAGAGGTGGGTGTTATAGTTTGAAATTCTATGCAAAAGATCAATTCTATTCTTGATTACACACAGAAAAGGGCTGTCAAATATTTAATTGCACCCACCACGGCTTAGCTCGGGTGGGGGGAGCTCGGCTGGGCAAAGCTCAGGTCCCGGGCTCAAATCCCTTGAGCGGCCGTGACAGCCTTACATGTTGGCCCGGGAAAATGGTGTTGGTTGCCTGCTAGGTCGACCGGAGTTTACTCGCCGCTAAGCAGAGGGGTTCCTCGTAAAAAAAAAAAATTGCTCATGAACAGTCTGTGTTCAGCTTGTTATAAAAATTCTTATTCGCTATGAAAGCAACCAGAACTTGAACATATATTTAACTTGGTTACTTGTGCAGGTTGAGGGAGCTGTCAACGTTGAAAGGAAAGGTGGAAACTGCGGCAAAACTAAAGGGGTTGGATATTAATGATAACTACAACCAGCACTACACTCTGTGATTGATGGAATGTTTCAAAAACTCTGTTGCTTGTTTAGATGTTTTCAAGTATTGTTAAAATTGTGTGATTTTTTTTTTTTTTTTTTTGGCATTTAAGAATTCTATTGATGTTTTTTTTTTCTTGTTTTTGTTATCTTGTTTGATAAACTAATAAAAGTATTTGTTATTTGTAGAAATGAATCTGTGTTGGCTGAAGTTTGTAAATTGAAATCGTATGAAATTCTCAGCTGCAGCTGATTGTTGAACTGTTGTTTTTCTTGCTTCGTTGATGTGTCCACCAATTAATAGTCATCAAATCAATTTAAAAAGGAACCCCCTAATTTTAGGATTTTTTTTTTTTATCCTTATGATGAAAAGGAGCTTTTTAGAATGAAATTTTGATTTTGTTTGAGACAATTTTTTTATTCTTTTCTAAAGCAGTTTTTAATTAAAAAATTTTTGAACTAGAAAATTTTTATAATTATATTATAAAGCAACTTTAAAAAACAATATGAAAACTATTTCAAACAAATCCTTTGTTAGAGTGAGAAAGTTAGTAAAGAAGATATTGTCTATTTTTTTTTATATAGTAAAAGTTTATTATACTTCAAATTCTTTTTAAAACTCTATTTTTAAATGATAATTTTATGATTACTTTTATATACAGCTACTGCATCTCAAGTAAACCCTAAAACCACAAAACTAGGAGCTGCATGTTTGCTATTGCAACATTGATTAATTTATTGAAATAACATCACAGGTCATAATCATTTAGCTTGAATTATTATTAATTCTTTCAATTTTCTGACCTAAAGGATTAAATCCAATGTATTTTAGGATTAAAAAAAATTATATTGATATTTAAGGACTTAAAATAAACTATGTGCAAGAAAGACTATGAAAGAGTCTATTTTTTGTTAGGGTAATTATTATATAAAGAGAACCAACAACAAATGGATTTTTATGTAATTTTGATTGGTATTTAAAGAGAATTGATTATTATTTGTTTATTAAAATTTTTGAAGATATAATGATTGAATAGAACAATTGTTGGGATTAAATGATTTCTAACCAAACTTCTTTTATTTATTTATTTTTTTTATATTTTTATATTGATAGTGGTGTTGCTTGTCCTTGAGTTTTTCCTTCTTTTTTTCTCTTTTGAAAACAAAAAAAAAACTTAAAAAATATGAGTAAAACTATTGGGATTATATATAGAAACCCTAGAGGATAGAAGGACCAACATAAAGATTAATTTAGCTTTAGTTAGAATGAATTGACCCCCAAACAAATTATGGAATGTTAAGTCAAGTTAGTAAATGAATGAATAAGTCGAACCATGGTCTTCATAGGATTGAACTAACCTGATTATGCTGAACCCAGCACAAATTGGAAAAAAAACCAGATTGGCTTTGCTCAACTCAGAGCGAACAGGGTGCATCTAAAATAGACACACAAAATGTCTAAACAATATACACATTTTCATGAATGAGTGTTTAGTTCTGTGTGGAATCAAATTGTGTTGATCAATCAGGTTGTATTATAACCTCAAATCTCAAGTCAATTTCTCGTGCTTGCTCAGGGGGTCCACCTGCTTGGGTTTAGGTACTTTGCACACAATTTTTTTTTTCATACAACGCCCCGACACTATAAACCTAAACAACCCAACATTGTATTCCCAAGTGTACTCGGTGATGCAAAGTTTGCTTAGAGAAATGATAGAGAATAGAGCGTCACAACACTCTAAATTCAACGCCGCACGCTGTGGGGACTCCACAACGCTAGCAATTTGAGCGCCGCAGCATCATGTTGGCAGAAGCTTGAGTGTCGCAGCACTATGAGGGAGTCTTGATAGTTTTATTTCTCTTTTTTCTAAACGGTGGCGTCTCTTGGAGTTACTTTACTCGACTTTCTTTTATATTTTGAGTGAGAACTACTTTTACTTTCTTATTTTTTTCGTTGCAGTATTTCACATGAGTTATGTTTATTTTCTTGTAGATAAGATCTAAGATATAATTTATGCATGAGTGTTTCGTTAATATTTTTATATTCGAATTGGTGAAGCAAGTAACCTATTATATTGTAACCTCAAATCTCAAGTCAATTTCCCGTGCTAGCTAAGGGGGTCCTCTTCCTGTTTGCGTTTAGGTACTTCGCACACTTTTTTTTTTTCATACAACGCCCCGACACTGTGTACCTGAATGCCCCAACATTGTATTCCCAAGTGTACCTGGTGATGCAAAGTTTGTTGAAAGAAATGACATAGAGCAGAGCGTCACAACGCTCTAAATTCAGCGCCACAATGCTATGGAGTGTCACAGGCCCACAACGCTAGGGACTTGAGCGTCACAGCATCATGTTAGCAGAGGCTTGAGTGTCGAAGCGCAGCGAGGGAGACTTGACAGTTTTCTTTTTCCTTTTTCTAAACGGTGGTGTCCCTTGGAGTTATTTTGCTTGACTTTCTCTTATATTTTGAGTGAGAATGGTGTAAAAGAAGAGCAAGGAGGAAGCGAGATGAGAGAGATACATACTTATTTCTCCCTATTTTCGTAGTGGACTTGTTGAAGTTGTGTGACTATGTGGTTTTTTCTCAATTTTGAACTTTTTTCATATTAAATCCTGGTTAAATTTTACTTTCCGCTACTTTTACTTTCTTATTTGTTTCGTTGCAGTATTTCGCATGAGTTTTGTTTATTTTCTTATAGATAAGATCCGAGAAATAATTTATGCATGAGTGTTTCATTAATATTTTTATATTCGGATTGGTGAAGCAAGTAACCTATTAAGTAAGAATTATATGCATATTTATAAAACAGGTTGGCACTATGTCTCTATTTCAAATAAGAGATTAAAAAAATGTAATAAAATTTAACTTGAAAAAAAAAAAAAAAACAACTCAAACTCTTCAAAGTTGAAAATTGAAATCATAAGGGATGGTTTGAATGAATGACAGGAAACCTTCCAGATAAAGGTGAAGCCATCTATAAAACAATCTCTCTTCATTCAGTACAGAACCATGAAAATAATACTTCAAAGGTATTATAAAACCTTCCAAACATGACAATCATATAGATAATAAATTTAAATAAGTTACAGGAAAAATAAAACAAGCGAACAGAAAGCTTCTAGAGGAGGCTAAGTTACATACAGCAAACATCAGGCAAGGAACATAGCCGAGTAAATAGCTGCCAATGCTTTCATCAACTGGCCAGCAGATCAGGTTCCTGCATAAATGATACTGTAACATTGATTCAGTAAATAGAAACATATAAATGAATTTGATATGTGATTAAGTGCAAGTCCAATAAGTTTAAATGAATTTGATTGCAATAAATCTTCTTTAATGTCAACTAATATTTTACCAAGTATATGATAGGTAATAATATGAAACTAATAAATGGATGTGAATCAAGTCTAATCACGCAAAAGTATTGCATGCAGCTCACTTTGGTTTGTTGGTTGGGGCTTTAGCTACTAATCAAAAAGTTTTAAGTTCGAAACATGCGTATGTGATGCATGTGTGAATTTATCTTAATGGCTCAAATGTCCTGAAAAAAAACAGAAGTATTGCTCCTCAAAGACAAGCTAAATTGGATGATCCATTACATTTACAAGATTAATGAAGATCTCAAGCAACAGGCAAGATTACTAGGTACCTTATTAGTATTAAGTTGAGATAATAGTTTTAAGGTTTCTCATGATTTATTGGTTTATCGACTTGATCATGTTTTTGTTTTATTATCACATTTATTATGAAATGAGTTCACAAAATTGCACATAAGTAATCAAACTAATATGACCTTACATAGCTTAAAGTTGGCTTATGTCTAACTTTTAGATGAAAGAAACATTTTGATGTGAAACCTATTAGAATTTGGAACATATTTGTTACAGCTTATTCGCATGTGTTTCAAGTTATACAAGTTGTAGATTTGTAGTCAATATTTTAAAATTTAATGATTTTTTTAATCAACAAGACTTATTTGCTTATCAAGAATAAACAAAAAAAAAAAGTTGATAAAATATCTGTTAGAGCATGTTTAATAAAGTAATTTTACCGTTATGTTCCAAGTTTCATGTTTTTCAGAAAAATATTCATATTATTCAAAGGATCTGAGGTTTGTCACCATAGGTTTATACATATTTTAAAATTATAAAAAATGGTGCTAGAGATGTCTTTTTAGCATAAAATGTAATCGAACAATTCCTAATATATAGCATATTAAAACATTTTCATATTTCACGATTTCTGAAAATGTACTCATATTTTTTTGAAAAGATTCCTAGATATTTAATTTATTGAAATTCTATGATTTCAACTAATTTTAAGTAACTTTTTTAAAAGATTTAGATTTCGTTTGGGACATCTTTAGACCGCTGTTTTTTTCTTACTTAAGAAATTTTTGTACTAAAAATCAGCTTTATTGAGCAGTAAAAAAGTCGTCTCATACAAAGCCTTGAAAATGTACTCATTTTATGTGACCAAACCATCTAAGGCGACTCACTCTAATCTTATTTGCCACTAGAGCTACTCCAACCTTTTCACGTATATGCTCATTTTGTATCATGTCTCTAAGAGTAAAGCCACTCATCCACGGATCCACCTAAGCATCCTCATATCTGCAACACTTAACTTAATATTATGCTTCACTTTTAATGGCCAACATTCTGCGCCATAAAGCATTGCAAGTCTAACCACCATCTTATAGAATATTTCCTTAAGTTTGAGTGGTACTTTTCTATCACACAATAAGCCCGATGCATTTCTCCACTTCATCCATCCAACTTGAATTCCACTAATAACATCCCCATCTATTTCACCATCACTCTGAACAATAAACCTAAGATATCTAAAATGTGTACTCTTATTAATGACTCAATCGCTCAAAGTCACAATCCCCCCACTAGAACTATTACTAACAAAATTACACTCCATGTATTCGATTTTAAATCTACTCAAATGAAAACCTTTAGACTCTAAGGTTGACCTCCATAATTCAAATTTACCTTCAACTCCCTCTTTAGTCTTATCAACAAGAAGAATATCATCAGCAAAAAACATACACCATAGAACATGCTCTTGAAAATCTAAGATATTGAATGCAAACAAACCAAATAATTTTGAATTTCATGATGAAAGTTTAGTTGCATTGTTTTGTACATCTAGAAAATTTTGTATAAATCTTCATGTGGTTTGGCCTTCTTGTGAAAGAGGTAACAGTCTGCCATTTTCTAAATAACATCAACGTATGCATAAATGCCAGGGCAAACAAGCATAGATTTCAAGAGACCAAATTATTAATACAAGACATTATTATAAAAACTTGTTAGGAAACCGGTTAAGAAACGGAGTATTGTCCTAGTACTAAAGTAAGGTTTCACAGCAAATTTTAATAGTAATACTAAAGTTTCATAACAAATTTCAATAGTATTACCAAAGTTTCAAAGAGCACACACATGTATGTCATACTTTTAATTAATGCTGATAGTCAGCCATGATTAGTTTTTGAGTTTACAAAATAGGATAAATTATTGCCATTGATTACAAAGCTCTAAAACTATTATTCTCATCATAAAAAAGACCAAATTACAGGTACTTCTATACATAATTCCTAGAATTTTTTCTTCTATCCTCCTTGTAGCATAAAATTATTTTTCTTCTTTTTTAACATTGTAGCATAAACATGCTTTAGTCAAGTAAAGCTCTAGGCAATAAAAGGTACTGTGAACTCTTCCAACTGTTATAAATATTTAGTTCATGATCATATAATAATATTATTCCAAATTATTTCAGTCAAGTTGTTGCTCGGGACCAGTTAGAGGTGATGTTTCTTAGGTATCATATAGCTTAATAAACATTATCACAGACACAAAACTCCAACCCATTCCCATTGGCATCAAACAGAGAAAAAAATATAAACCTAAAAGTCTGATTTATTTAGTTCTAATCCAACTTCAAACCACCCTTCTCATGAACTTAAGACCTCCAAAGCAACACGAACAATCATTCCATTAACTGAAATGCAAGCTCTAGAGTCTATGGAGGTTAAAGGACACAGATTACAATAAAAAATATACTTGTACCTCTATTTAAGCAGCCCTAGAAGAAATCATGCCTGTTTTCCTGGCATAAGCAAAAATCCCTCCCGCCTCAATCACCGGCCCGGCATCCCCAATCGGCTTCAACTTATAGTCTTTCCCCTTCGTGTGGTTAATCAAGCGATTCCCGACAAGATCAACAGTCACAAAATCCCCAGTAGAGCACTCCTTCCAGATCCCGACCTCCTCCGTCTCCACAGGGTACACCTCACCAGTGGCCACACAGTTCCTAAAGAAGATCCGCGCATAACTCTCCGCGACGACTACGCGGGCACCAGAGGCTCCTATCGCAACAGGAGCATGCTCGCGAGAGGATCCGCATCCAAAGTTGTCGCCACCGATGATGACCGAGAAACGGGAAGAGTTCTCACCGGGATTGACAAAGGGAACGGGGTATGAGGCTGTGGGGAGGCCCACGAGGGCAAGCGATCCGAGCTTGCGGTACTCGTCGGGCTTGGAGGGAACGAGAGTGAGGTGCTCGGCTGGGATTATTTGATCGGTGTCAATGTTGTTACCAACGACGTAGCAGAAACCGTGGAAGGTTGTTATGGAGCCGGAGGAGGCGAGGTCGGCTTCGGCGTCTGCTGCAGCAAATAAGGGGGTGAGGAGCGATCTTCGAGGAGTTAGGGTTAGGGATTTGAGAGGCGAGGGAAGAGTGGGGATATGGGCGTTGGACGTAGAGTTGCGGCGGGTAAAGATGGAAGTTTTAGGCAGATGAGAAGAGTATACAGTCTTGAGGGGCACCGCCGTCGCCATTGCCACAAATTAGGTAGGTGAAGGCACGTATAGTCCGGTTCTCAATATATAGATGGAGCTTAAGTGGACTTAGCCTTCTTTTGGGAGGGCAAATTATTGCGTCCGGTCACGCCACCTCATTCGGATGCACTAGGTTTCGATATTTTTGAGTGACGTGACGTGTTTTTATTGGTGTCCGAACGAATCCGGACACCGAACACAATAATTTGCTCTTTGGGAGAGCTAGACCTCAATCATAATTTCTTTTTTATTATTATTTTTCACATGTTAAAATTTTTTTTTACTATGAAGTTTTTTTATAAAAAAATTTGAAAAATTATTTTCTCAACTACAATTTTACAAAATAGTAAGAAAAGCCGTCCCAAATAAAGTTTTGATGAACTTCAAATCTTAATTTTAAAATTATTTCAATCATAAAATTAACTCCAAATTATGTAATTTTATAGTTAAAATAATTATTTAGTCATAATAATCCTAATGATGTCAAGAATGTTTAAGGTCTAAATCAGTTCGACTAATCTTTGTTGAACAAACTTAGACCAATCCAAGCCACCTATCTTCTACCCTCATATAGCAAATGCAAGGCGCATCCTTCGGTGATGGCGGCTCCAATATTATTGCCCATGCTCTGATGTTTATAGGGCACCCAATTGGCCTAAGAGATTCTCCTTTTTGTGAGCATCATTTTAGTATGCTTTAATCATGATGGGCCACATTTTTTCTCAGAGTAGTTTATTTGATTAGATTTGGACTTCTTGGAATCCCTTCAATCGTTACATACATTTGTTTTAACAACCCATGTCATTCTCAAATCATTGATCACGCTATGCTTTTCGGCTCAGCGGTTCTCGAAAAGTAGCGTTAGGGGCGTCGGAATTCAACAAGGCGATGTCGATGCTCTTTGTTCTGCATAAGGTATGGTATGAGCATGCAACACTAGGTTGGAGTGAAGTGACGCTGGGCATTGAAAATATATTTTAATATATTTTCTCTTCCACTCAACCACCTGCCCACTTATTTTGTCTCTTGTTGAAGGTGCCAAGGAAGGGAAGAAAAGAAGGGAGAGAGAGAGAGAGAGAGAGAGAGCTTTTTGGGGTGATTTCTTTAGTTGTTTTTATTATAGATTTTGTTCAACTTGAAATAAGTGACTATATTCTTACTCATGTTTTCGATTATTTTGATTTCTAAGGCTTTTAATATTCCCAGTATTAATAAAAATATATATATTTTCTTGAATTAGTGACGACTCTTAATGCTTTATTGAAAGTCACCTATAAAAATAAAATGATAAAGAAGACGTAATGATAATGATAAGGATGAATACATGTGAAGGAATGAAAATATCACATTAAAACTATATGTCATGTCTAGCTAATCATATACTGATGCATATTGATATCATTGATAACATTGATAGTATTGATAATATATAATATTGATAGATACATAAGGAAATGTGTGGGCCTTACATATATTGATTTTCATATAATTGATAAGATGGGCAAGACTAATGATATTGTCACATGTATATTCATACTATAGCACTAATTTATTGATCACTGGTTTATTGATTGCATGTTTTCTAGCTGTCATTTTATGGATTTAAGTGTGTTGACATTTTTTTTATTAATTATATTAAATGGTACAAGTGATGTTTGATCATTGATGACATTGAATACTACTATTTATATTGATTAAGATGAATATGCATATTGATGTCTTTGATCTTGTATTAAAAGCTTTAGCAAGTTTTGAGTTTCTGTTGGGCTTTGTAAACTCATTTGGTGGTTTTAATGATTTCATGCTATGAAAGGGGCCAAGATCACGTGGAGTGAGATTGATTGAGATCCTCAAGATCTTCTTTTGATTTTGTTCCATATTTTCTTTTATTCTTTTGCAGTTACGAGCTATTGATAGATTAGTGATCTCATGACTATTGTAAATAGGATTTTGGTGAATCAAAGCAGTGAAATGTTTCATTGTGTACGATATGCATTGGCTTTTGCAAAATATATTGATTTATATTAATAATTTATAGAAACTCGAGTGAATGATTAAAAGATAAAATAGACCATTTCTTCCAATTTAGTGATTAGACAAAGACAAGAGACTGAGGCTCAATGCCTTTGTTGACTACATATAAGCTTCACTATCTTCCAATATAGAGATTGAGGCTCATGTCTTTGATGATAATAAGAACATTTTTAAGTTCTGATTAGTGATTACACAAATTTTGAATCTCAAATCAATGTAGATCTAAAAATTGGATGATCAAGATATTTGAAAGTTGATTGATTTATAAGGCATTCGAGAAACGATGACTCAAATTCAAACTTTAGCCGATAAAAAAATAGAAATCCGAATAAAATTAAAAATATTATAAAAAAAACTATATTTGCTATGTTTATAATAAAAATGTATTTAAATTCATATAATTTAGAGTATGTTATAAAACTTTAGCAAATTTTTAAAGTCGTTTTGATCTATAAATCACATGATTTGATAAATAATTATATATTTAAAATTAAAAAAATATATATTTATTTATATTCAAAACTTTAATTTAAATTTTAATTCCATTAAATTCATTTTATTTCATAATGCTAAATCATATATCACTAAAATATTTTACATTCAAATTAATTGAACTATGCAAGTTTTATGAACCATATATATTTATGCAATTTATCTCTTATAAAAATCCACTCCCATTCAACATAAAATTACTTTATTACATTTGTTAAGTATCATTCTATTAACCCTAAATTTTATATTTTTAAAATAGAAATATTTTTTTTGGCAAAACTTTTACTAAACATCTAGAAATCTCCTCCATTCTTATTAACTACAATTGGCTAATTTATATGAATTTTACAATAAATTAAAAATTAATAATTATGTAAATACCTAAGGCTTGAAATGGCACAATTAAGGTCATTTACTAACCTTTAAAATTTGTTTGAGCGATCGTCATATTTTTAATATTACTTTGAAATTTTTTGTTAATTCTATTTGTAATATTATTTTGAGATCAAATATTTACATCATATACATTTTTTTTTCTTTTGTCATACTATATGTTGGCTATATTTTTTTATAAAAAATAGTTGTAAAGCTAGTGTGTGAAAAGCAGTTTTTTAAAAAAATTATTGAAATCAATGAAAAAATAACGACGAGAAAAAAAAAAAAACTATGATTGCAATCAGGGGCAGATCCCCCTTATCTTCAAATGGGCAATTGCCCCCCAAAAATTTTTATTATATGATTGTTTAGGTAATTTAACTCTTTATATTTATTTTTTAGTCTTTATTATATGTGTTTTAGGCAATTACCCCTCTAAAAGTTTTAAAATATTATGATCTTTAGACGATTGCTTCACCATAATTGAACACATTATGTAGAAATGTTATTGTTAAGAAACAATGAACCAAATAAAAAGAGAAATAGCAAAGAGAATTCATCATTTTATTTATTCATTTGAATTCCAAAAATATACTTACAACTAAAATTTGTTCCAGGGCGCTGCTCCTTGACCCCGGCGACATATCTGCAAAGCGTACGATGATCAAGGATATTAACAAATAAGGGTAAAGCCAAATTCAATGCAACTTCAACATACATTTTGTAAAAATTGAATGATTAATCATTCTTTAACGACCGTTTTCCTTTTTTCTCTTGATATATCATAAAAAATTTTATCTCAATCGGGCACAAATCTTAAAGCAAAATTGAGTTGAAAGCTTCTGAAGTCAAATTGGGGACCATCCAACCTCCGATTTCAGCAAACTTATAGTCAAACTGAACGTCTGAGAAAGACGAATCCATCGACACCAAATTCGACTCAATCCGAGCCCTAATGGGTCCAAATCAAGGGTCTGAAGCACTATTGAAGGGTTCAAACCACAATTTGGATTACCAAACGGTTTCCAAATATGATATGCTTATATTCAAATTGAGCGACTCGACGAGATGAATCCAATGAGCTCAAGATCACTTAATTTTGAAATCATTCAGGCATCCAATTGACCAATAAACGGTCCATGATCAATGGGATCGATATCGACCGTCCATTCAAACCACTCCCATTTTGACCTTGATCATCCACATATTTACAAGCTATGCCACTCTAAAAAAATTATAAATAGCCCCACTCTTCTCATGAGAGAGGGGGAGGAAGAAGGGAAGGAAGGGAGGAATTTGGGAGCTCTCTTTCCATCGACCACCGCCGGAGTTCCTGCCGACCACCACTGGAGTCCCTGCCGACAACCGCCATCTGGGCCAGGCCATGTGGTTTTTCCCTTTCGGGTTTTCCACGTAAAAAAGTTTATGGTGTTTCTCTTCCTTAATTTTCTGTTGATGTGTTGGATATACGTAAATTGCTAAGGAGTTATATTTTTCATTCTACCGCCGCGTATATTCTAGTCCACAACATCTCTATATTGACCCATTTTCTCTTAGTGAAGGGTCGAGCCAAATTTGATGGAACACCAACAGTTAAGACTGGGTCCGCCTTGATTGTAATGTGAAAAATAGAACATTAAGCTATATATCACAAATGAAGCCATAATTTTTTTTAGAAATCTATATAAACAAGCTACAACTTCTTTTAACATTGGTTTTAGATTGTGTTCATCAAGAAAAAGCACATATTTTCAGCGATCAAATCGCCGCAAAATACCAACAGTCTAATCGTCGGTAATGCCGTCGAAAAACTTCGGCTGTAATTATGCTGAAGCCGTCGCTCCGATCACCACCACAACCAAATTGGAAAACCGCTGGAAAGTCTCCAAAAATAATTTTCATCGAACAAAGCTCCGCAAGAATGCGTTTCCTATGCTGTTTATATCGGTGGAAAAAAAAAATCTGTCGGAACCGCTGGAAAACTCAATTTCGAAGAAAAAGTCCCTATTTCCGTCAGAAAAATTCGTCGGCAACGGATGATTTTCCTATAGTGCAACCACCAACTACTACCACTGAAACTCACCATCTTCTCCAAAATGCTATGAAGATTTGATCATGCAGTTGGATATATTTGTCCGACTGTGAATACTTACTTTCTAAAATTTCTCTTTGAAAGATTAAGCCCTATTGTTGGAAATAAATATTCGATCTTTGTATTTTTTCTCTTCTTCAACAACGAAGAAGGGAATATTTTTGTACCACTTAATACATATTGAATTTTGCAACTGAGCTAGGCCCCGTGTTTTTTTCCTTTTTCAGATTTTTCACATAAAATTTTTCTGGATTTTTTTTTTTATTCGTGCTGAATATTGTATACCGCTAAAATATGAAACATATACCAACTCAAATTTCCTAGCACTCAACAAAATTGAAATAATGAATTACTCGAAGGTGGAGGTCTAAACAAGGACGTAGGCTGGAGTAGAATTACGTAAAAAACTTGTCCGTCTCTTTCTAGCTTTTACTTTTATATTAAATTTTAAATTTTTATTTACTTGTTCATGCAAAATAAGATTTTAATTATCTGCCTGTTTTGAACATTCACGCAACATTAAAAAGATGTGGGCGTGTGTAGTCCTCATAATGAAAAGATATTAAAAAATGGAAATGAATAAAAAAAGAAAAAAGAAAAAAAAAAACCTCAGCCAGAAATTCGCTTTGCCACTCGAGAATCACATGTTGCTATATCAACCAGACAACCAGATATTTTTCCCACAACTTTAGACTAGTTGGAATCCGTTTTTATTTTATTTTTTAATTTAAAAATGTTTTATTTTATTTTATTGTTTTAAATATCTCAAATTATTTTAAAAATAGCCAAAATAATTTCTAAATATATATTTTTAATGAAAAAAACAAAGCTGCCCCGGGCGGCCACGCTCAACACTTCATTTATTTACATATCTAATATCTAAAAGTTTAATATTGCATACATACCATATTATATTATTTTAATATCAAATATGCCGCTCATATTTCTTTTCGATGATTCATATATTTCATTCATGTCACTTATGTTTGATATGAAAGTGAACTATATATGATATATATGTAATATTAAAGTTTAAGGTGTTAGATATGTAAATAGAATAATATACAATGGTATGTATGAAAATCTCTCTATTTACATATTTAACGCATTATTTCATGTTATTTACATATCTAACATTCAAAATGTTAATATTATGTGACTACCTCCCATAGAACAAATTTGAGTTTATGGAATGAAATATTAAAATTTATAGGATAGTATGAATAGTAGAAATGAATTATATGAATGATATATTTGATATTAAAGTTGTATATAAGCGGTTGGTGTGCAATATTAATGTTTTAAATATTAGATATGTAAATAGTATGAAATAAAGTGGTGTGTATGTAAATTTCCTAATTAAATAATACTCATTTAGTATTTTTTTTTTTTTGGGAAAATTCATTTAGTATATCAAAAGCATTTTTATTTTATATTTAAATATAAAAGAATAGAAAAAAACAGAAAAAATATTTCAAACGGCTCCTAGATTATCTCCCATCTCTGTCAATCGTTATACAAGCATAAGTTTCACGAGTTTAACCATCAAAATGCTAACGATAAGCTTATAATCTCAAGATTAGAGGTATCTGATCATTGTCGGTCAGAGCTTTAGCTTTGCTCAAGTGTTCTTTTTTAGTATTTTTAGTACTTTCTGTGTTCCTAATCCATAAGCCTTCCTTTGTGGCTTGTTCATGTAGGGATTCGTTGTTCTTGCTGATTTAAGCCATTTAGTTTCAACTGACTTTGAATTTGGGGCTGCTTTTGATTTATATATCATTGACATTCAGGATTGTTTGCTTCTTGTATGTGTATTAGCTAGGTTGTTTTTGGGTGTGTTGTTCTTGGTTTGGATCAAGTTGTTGGAGAGTTTTAGATTGATAGGATGCAGAAAGCAATGCTCGATATGAGCTCTGAAATGGAGTTCTTGAGAAAGACTTGCTCGATGCTCCCAATCTGCAACCTGGCTAGTATCAGATTCTTCCGTCGAATGAGTTCTCGTCAGAGGAGAGGTATATTTTTCTCAAATTTACTACAAATTTCAGCATAAATAGGCTTTCTTATGCTATGTTCCGATGAAATTTGAATTTTTCAAGAATGTACAGATTCTGCAAGTATTTTAAGTTGATCATGACAACATTGGATCGTTTTGAGGTTATTCTGTGATTATTCATGTCTGAAAACCATCCCATCCACCTTAGAAATTTCAACTAAGGCTTCGTTTGGGACGGCTTTCTTACTGCTTCTGAAAGCTTCTTTTTAGTTTAAAATTTTTGTACTAGAAAGCTGCTTTAAGAAGCAGTAAGAAACCGTCACAAACGAAGCCTAAGCTTCATTCGGGACTGCTTTCTTATTGCATCTTAAATCAACTTTTTAGTGCAAAAAAATTATTTTTTGTTCTGTGAAGCAGCTTTAAGAAGCAGTAAAAAAGCCACCCCAAACGAAGCCTTAATTTTTACTAGAAAGCTGCTTTAAGAAGCAGTAAGTAGCAAGAAAGTTATCCCAAACAAAATCTAAATTTTGAGGTTTGCATTTGTCATATATAGTTTGCTAATAGCTAGCTTCAAAATGGTAGGCTGATTGTTGAATTCTTTTGACTACCCAATTAAACATGCTGGTCAGAATCTCGCCAACTTAATGAGAAAAATATAAATTTTCATGTAATCAATGGCTTGCATTTCTCTTCTTTGCTAAATTATGTCACCAGACAGCAAATTCAGACACAATTTACCTAATAGGAAAGTTTCAGCTGGTTTTAGATTGTTCTTCTTGTCCAGGCTTAGGCCTCGTTTGGTTCCCCGGCTCCTTTTTTTCATTTTTAAACAGAAGTATCGGAACGGGAAATGGAGAAATTTTTTTCTTCTCAGATCGGCGAAAATAAGGAGGTTCGGGAGATGGTATTTTGAAAAAGCCGTCTTAACAAACAGCAAAACAATAGTTTTTTCGCCGATTCAAACCGGAGACAAAGAAATTACAACCAAACAAACGAGGCCTTAATATGTTGTGTTTTTGTTGAACTCCTAATATGATCTATAATTTCAATACCATGATCTATAATATTACACCTGAGCAATTCACCTGAATCTCATATGCAGATGTTTCAGTTAAGTCTTCCTACCTGATTGCCAAAACCCCTAATGAAAATACTATAGCTTTGACTTCTAAAAATATATGGGGGAAAGAAAAATTAGTTATAAATGGAAGCTATGATGCTTATCCATGGATATCATCAAGAGAAAGTTACATGCTTGATGCTGATGAAGATGAGTATGGAGGAGTCATAATTAGACCAGAATGCCTTCCACAAACAGCAGATGCATTTGCTACTATCCTTCAATCATCTCTTTTCCACTGGAAGCTGCAGGTATTCCCATAACTTAGGTTTCATTTGGGACGTCTTTCTAGTTGTTTCTAAAAGCAACTTTCTAATACAAATATTTTTAATTTTGTACTAAAAAGTTGCTTTAGGAAGCAACTAAAAAACCGTCCCAAACGAAGCCTTAGAATGCAGTTAGGTTTCACATATAGTGGCCTTCGTGTATTCGTGTTATCTATCCTTAAATGAGCTTCCATAATTCAGAATAAACTTTTCTATTGAAGGATTTGCAGGGTAAGAAGGGGGTCTGGCTTAGACTGCCACTGGATCAAGCTGAGTTTGTTCCAGTTGCTGTTAAGGTATATTTGATTATAAAAATATCTTAGAAATGAAGATGATTACAAATAATTTCATGGCATAGATATTTGGTCTTTGGAATATGCCGCCATAATTGAAAGTTTTCTTTTATGTCTGGTTCTAATGGATTTTTGTTGGGCATCTACTTTCTTGGGATATGCTAAAGTTTATTCAAGATAAATTGAAGTGATTTTTATGATAAAATAATATGTGAAAAGGAATAGAGAGTTGATAAAATATTTTATATTAATTTTATTTATGTTGAGAAGACATGTTCAAGTGCAGTGGGAATTGATTTATTGTATATTTGTACATGAAGGTAGAAAGATTTGGGTCAAAGTTATATTGAATTTATTAAGTATTTGTATGAAGAAGTATTGACTAATATTAGAAGTGGATGTTGATTGATTAAAATATTTCTAATTATAATAGGATTACATTGAAGGTTAATTTTGAGTCTATAGCTTTTTGTATTGGTTTGAGTAGAGATATGATAGGAAGTGGATGCACTTTTCACAAAAATCAGTGAATGATAAAACACAAAAAATTGGGAAGAAGAAGGCTCCAAAATATTTTTTATTCAAAGAAATATAAAGGGGAATGCAAGATACAATTGGATCTTCAATTGGAGAGGAAAATCCGGCTCTCCCAAATCCCTAGCCGCCGGCTTGAGCCCAAATAATCTAAGAATAAACTAGATTCAGCAGACTCCAAAATATCATCTTGAAATCACCCTATTGTTAATCTTAAATAGCATCCCATAATTCCCTCCCGAATCAGCCCCCTTTCCCTAAATAATTCCCTCTCAGATTTGAATTCAAATTAAATTTATTTTCCTAATTAATTCTCTCCCAATTGTAATAAAAACTTTCCTAAACAATTCCTTTTAATTCCTCCTCCTTTTCCTTATATAATTCTCTCTTAAATTTTGAATTTAAATTAGGTATATTGCCCTAAATAATTCAATTGCAATTAAAACATTTCCAAACAATTCTCCTTTGATTAAGAACCTTCCTAAACAATTTCCTCTTGATTAGGAAACAAACTAATTCTCTTCTAATCAAATAAGAAAGATAAACTAATGAATGATTGTATGAATGCATGATTTTAGTAACATATACATTGAAGACAAAGCTTAAAATAAACTTGTGCATTTTTAACACATATAATGAAGTTTAAGAAAATGCATTAATTATAAGAGTATATAAAATTAATATTGAAGAATTAGTAAAAGTTGCTCAAAAGGATTTGGGGAGAATAGTTTTAGCACTTTAGGCAACATTTAGCAATACATGGAAAATGAGGGTTAATAAAGTCAACTCCAAATAATTGAGATAAGACTAATGAAGGTGATGATGATAAACTGATTGGATATTTGGTGACTCATTTTCTTGACACATGAAAAAGAAAAAATGTTCATCTATAACTTAAATAGGGTTTTAAATAAATCTAGTTGTGCCAAGGTCATTTATTTTGTTATCGATGAGTTTGAACATGAACAACTATTAAAAATTATATTCAAACTTATTTATTTTATTATTGTGTTCAAATTATAATTAATATTTTATTGAGCTTAATTAATCAATATAAATCAAATGTATAACCCTCATTACAGACTAAAAATTATACTTGTTTGTTCATCAAGTTGGTATAATTCTTTCAATGTTTTTTTTTTAAAGTTAATGAAATAATCTAATCAATCTATTTGCTGCTATGAATTTTCATCAGATTTGATAGTTCATCGAAAATCGTCTTGATCGAGCATGAATCTCGATATATATTTTGATTAAAACTTTTGGAATTAAATTCATGATCACCTTAATATGATTTCAGCAAACTTATAGCCAAATTGAATGGCTCAACAAGAGGAACCTAATGATACCAAAATTAGTTTGATCCTTGTCTGAATGAGCCTAGATCAAGAGATTGAAGGGTAATTGAAAACTTAATGACATTAATTGGATAACTAAATGATTCAAATTTAGCTTGCTTAAAATCAAATCGAGCATCATGATGAGATGAATCAAATGAGCCTATGATTGCTTAATTATGATATCATGAAGACACTTAAATGCTGAATGAACATATCATAATCAAGTGAATCAATATTGGTCATCTGATGGAGTGTTCTAGATTTTCTTTATATTTGCAGGCTTGTCACTCTCAACAATCTATAAATAATCTCCCACCCTCTATACGAAGAGTAGGGTGCTAAGAGCAAGATCTTAAACTCCGGCTTGAAATTTAGGAAAGCTTTAAGGATCTAAAGATTCTGAAGTACCACCACCCGATTGTAAACATCGAGCCTTCATCTCCTAACCACTATATTCCTCACACCACTGTCCCAAGAGTATGGTCCTCAGTCTAGCGTTGTCCAACTACAATCCTTCTATCCTCAGTCGCATGCCGACTACAATCTTCTGGCCTCCATTGAACACCAACTATAATTATATGTAGACCTGTCAATATTGGACCCGACCCGAAAACCCAACTCAAACCCGACCCAAAAATTTTGGGTTTGGGTTGACCCGAACCCAAAGCGGGTCGGATTCGGGTCCGGAAAACCGACCCGTTTGCAAAACCAGTTCGGGTTGACCCGGAAACCTGGGAATGACCCGGAAAACAGCCCTCCCCGCTCTGACCGGTCCTGCCCGAATCTGCCCGCCTGCCCAGCGGCACTGCCTACCCTTGCTGCCCGCCTGCCCCGCTTGCCCTGGCTACCCCGCCTGCCCTGAAACCCCGCCTACCTGGGCTGCCCGCCTGCCCTCGCGTCGCATCGCGGTCGCTCGCGTCGCGTCGCTATCTCGCCGGCACCACCGTTGTTGCACGCTGCTGTCCTGCCGCTGCCGTGCGGCTCGCGCTGTCCGTCACGTGCAGAAACTAAAAAAAATCAACCGGAAGCGAGTCGAATCGGGTTGACCCGAACCCGAATAGTGCCGGGTCAGTTCCGAGATCGACCCGAACCCGACCTGTTACCCGAAATTGACAGGTCTAATTATATGACCTCCATCGTCTGATTATGGTCCTTTGATCACCGCCACCCGATTATGATCCTCGGACCACCTGCTTTCTGACTTCAGTTCTTTCGACCACCATCGTTCGACTTTGATCCTTTTGACTGTCGTGTCTTGATTTCGATCCTTCTGACCACCGTAACCTGACTTCAGTTCCAACCAATGTCGCTTGACTTCAATCATCTGACCACAATCACTCAGCTACGATCCTTTGACCAATGTTGCCAACCATCACTAATAATGCCAACACGCATCATCACATATGAGATCAATAAACGCTTTGACTCCCAAATTCAACACAAGGATTTATTATGGGTTTATGTCACATGACTTTAATTTCAAACACATAATATGTTCTTTTCATTGTATCCATGTATTTCCTCGAGTAAGAGCTTCATTTGTAATAAACAATAATTACTAGTAGAATTATTTTACTTGGGTTAGGCCCCATGGTTTTTTACTTTCCTAGGGTTTTCACATAAAAACTTTTCTCATACAATTCTTGCAGTCTTCTCGTGATGGATCTTCATGCAAAGCTATGATTTTAAACTCTGTTTCTCCCTTCGAGTGCGAATGTCAACACCTAATAGTACTTAGCTTAAAAATAATAATCATTTATAAATGCATTTTATAGAAGAAAATTGATACAAAAGCATAGAATACGTCATTAAATAAGCAATTATGTCATTATGAAAGGAGCATCATATCAAATTATTAGTGAGCTACTTGTTAATCTTAAAAAAAAAATAAACAGGTTTATGAACATAAATAAACTAGTGAATGTTTAATTTGATTCATTTATACATTGCGTTAAAAAAAAAAGTTTCAGATTTATTCAATCATCTAAAAAACAAACAAAAATGAGCTATACACAAATGATTATTGATTTGCTCATTGGATGTGCAAGTCATTGCACTACTCTAGATTTAATAATAAATTATTCAAATGCTTCTTGAAAGCATTAAAATCATTTTATCCATTGCAGGAAGGCTTCAAGTACCATCATGCTGAGCAAACATATTTGATGCTAACATATTGGATTCCTGAAGGGCCTTGCATGCTTCCTGCTAATGCATCACATCAAGTAGGAGTTGGTGGTTTTGTTCTCAATCACAGAAATGAGGTGGCCAACAAATTCATTTTGTTAGCATAACAGTATCAGCACAATTTAAGTCCTAATCCAGCATTCAAACCTTCATAGGTTCTTGTAGTGCAAGAGAAGCATCATTATTCATTTGAAGATGTTTGGAAATTACCTACAGGTTTTATCCTTGAGGTCTGTTTTTAAACGATGTATCCAGGGAAATTTTCTCTCTGACTTTTGTGGAATTTCACCTTCATTTATTTTGTTCTCCAGAATGAAGAAATATTTAATGGTGCTGTTCGAGAGGTGAAGGAGGAGACTGGAGTAAGCAATTAAATTGTTTTTGTTTCGTTGCTTATTATTTAATCAGATAAACTAGAAAAAAAAGATTTTATCAAATGGTAACTGAAGCTTCTCACATATGCCACAGATTGATACAGAATTCTTGGAAGTAATTGCTTTTAGGTAATAATGATGCGTCCATATGTTTTATTACTTTACTTTCTTCATTATAATGCAGTATCTGTCTGATAGGAAACACTTGTAGATCTCAAGTATTTCCTATCAATCTTCGGAAAACAGCGAGATTACTCCACACAAATCCGCACAAAACCCAGAAAACCGTAGATAATTTATATTATTTGATGAAAGGGAAACGAAAAATATCAAGATACAATTATCCTCTATTCGAGAGGTGGATCTTTCTCTCTCTAATATTTCTAGACGCCGCTACAGCTCAAAGAAAACCTAAATCTATGAGATCTCAAATTTCAGCCAAATTCAAGAACCCTAATCCTAGAAAAAACAACTATTTAATGCATACAAATCAAAAGAAAATCCTTAAACGGTCCCTACATTCAAATTTCCCTCCTACTTTCCTAAAAAATCCTTCCTAATTTGTTCTAGGGAAGAAAAGTGTGCATTCAGCGCGTACAGGAGAGGCGGAAGTTCCACCTCTATTCCGCTTGAGTCGGTCCCGTAGGGACCGGTTTGACCCGTCCAATGAACCAGTCTAACACTATCCAAAGAAACAAATGCCTAATCACATCAATTTTTAAAACAAAGGTATTTCAGTGAATGATATTATAAGATGTTATTGTCTATTTATAAAATGACACTTGTAGTTTTATTCATGCAGCTCAATAACATTGAAACTTTTAACTGTGTTGTAAAAGTAATATAGTTTTGATTTCTTATCAGGCATGTTCACCATGTTGCATTTGAGAAGTCTGATCTGTTCTTCATCTGCATGCTGAAACCCTTATCAACTCAAATTGTTGTAGATGAACTCGAAATACAAGCAGCCAAGGTAAACATTCAAATTTTCGATGAGAATTGAATGCTATTTCAAATCAACTAAGCTAAACCATCATACTTTCTTACACAAGTAATAACCATTTCTGCAGTGGATGCCTCTGGCTGAGTTTGTGAGGCAACCATGCATTCAAGAAGACAACATGTTCAAGAAGATTATCGACATCTGCATTGCGCGGCTCGGAAAGTGTTATTGTGGATTAACGGCTCATCAGGTGATTTCAAAGTTTGATTCTAGATCTTCTACCTTGTATTATAATGTAGTTGAGCCTGAGGACTATAGCTGCCAAGTGTCTTAGATGTGGCATAAGTGCTGCTGCTATAGAATTATATTGAGAGGAACATGTATATCAATATGATAATTAAAAATTCTATGGAAATAATGATATTTGGAAATCAAAAGAGCTCTTTTGTAGATATTGTCCACGTTACAAAGGATTTCAAGTAGTAATGTTCACATGAAATGAGTAATCAAATATAGAATTTCATGTTGAGATGCTATTAATGTTGCCTTCTTCCTCTGAACTTAGGCTTCATTTAGGATCATTTTTTTTACTGTTTTCTAAAATAGTTTTTTAGTACAAAAATTTCTATAAGTAAAAGATTTTATACTAAAAAACTACTTTTAAAATCAATAAAAAAGCTATCCTAAATGAAGCTTTAATTTAGCATTCTATCTCTCTTGAATGGCTAGAGACCTTCTTGACTATTATTATTAGCATGACTTATTGCATATGACCAATCATGTGTTAGTTTTTTAAGCTTAAAATATTTTGTACTAGAGTTGACTATACTGAGTTCGATGAGGCAACTAATCTATTTGATTTGACATGTTTACACCCCTAGTACCAACATACCATCATAACTTCAACAAGTCCTGCACCATTGCTCATTGCCCATGTGAAACCCCTTAAGTAAAAGAAAATTAATTATTAAACATCGAGGCGCCTTTTGATGTAATAGCTACAATTTCTGTTAGAAACAACGCAGTTAAGCATGCTCATTCTAGAGCAATTATGAAATGGGTGACCTACTGGGAAATTATACCAACAAGACAAAACCGTGAGGCTCTTAGGCCAAAACAGACAATATCTCGATAGTTAAGAGTTTGGGCCATTACAAATGGTATCAAAGCAATACACCAGTCGGAAGATGGGAGCTAAGTGACATACTAGACAAAGTGCTACGCCATGGGAGCCACCTCTTGAACCCTATATGGGATCAAAGGCTATATGACGTGAGCCACCACTTGAACCTGTTGGGGCCACCTCTAGAGTCCTATATGTATGGTGGATGATCATGGGATATAGATGCTGACTGGAACGTCAGTTATTTAAGTGGGAGAGATTGTTAAACCCCTTAAGTAAAAGAAAGTTAACTCTTAAACATTGAAGCGCCTTTTGGTATAATGACTAGAATTTTCGTTAAAAACTCCGTAGTTAAGCGTGCTCATTCTAGAACAATTTTGGAATGGTTGATCTACTGGGAAGTCACACAAACATGACAAAACGATGAGACTCTTAGGCCAAAGCGAACAATATCTCGATAGTTAAGAGTTTGGGCTATTACAGCCCAACCATCTCTCCCTCTACCACCCACATCTCCTCATTGCCACCCTCTGCATTCAATACATTTGCATTGTATCATATGGAAACAATTTTAATATATTAGATTTATGTCCAATTAAATATTTTATTTATTTTAATTTTATATTAATTTGAATTACAGTTTATTTTAAAATATATACATTTTAAAGTATCCAATCAAATATCTCATAATTTAATTCTGAGGAAAAATAAAGAAATTTGCTTTTAGAGGGAAAAGTTGACTTCAAACGGTTTAAAAAGGCTTCTTTGGTTTCTCTGGCGAGGGTAAAATAGTAATTTATATTGTAGATGAACATGTTCTCAATGGCCACGCCCTAACCGTATCCTTCCGTTCCTCGAGTATGATATTGCTTCCTCCATAGCGATGAAGTAATCAAACTTCAATCTTGCACGCACCAAATTTATGCCCAAATGGAGAACGAATGTGCGCAATAACCTTTCATTGCGTAGGAACGTTCTCCACTTGAGGAAAAATTATTCTGTGGAGTTCAGATAGACCTGTCAACAATTGATCCGACCCGAAAATCCGATCCGAAACCGATCCGAAATTCTCGGGTTCGGGTCGACCCGGTTAAATAACGGGTCGGGTTAGGGTCTAGAATTTCGACCCATTTAGCTATTAGGGTCGGGTCCAGGTTAACCCGGAAACCCGATAGTAACCCGAATTGACCCGCGACTTTAACAATTTAAGGCGTCTGTCGAGCGACGAGCGGGGTCATAACTCATATGTTCTCGACTTATCGTTTTGTTCCGTCTCCTGAGTCCTGGCTTCTGTTTAGAGTTTCCGATTCTCTCAGTCTCCTCTCCACCTCTCAGTCTCGTCGGCACTCGGCACAACGGCGTCTACGCTTACGCTTCACACATTTCCTAATCTAATTCACTGTTTGTATCTCGTTTCTCATTTCTATTAGTATTTTTTGATTGTTTAGCTTTAGAAGATGAAGACATGAAGGTTTTGACTGATATTTTGTGTTCTTCATTTTATCATATTTTGTGATCTTCAATCCCGTATTCCCGTGAATTCTATTTCTCTGCTAGGGTTTATTTCGGGCCTTTCGGCTAGGGTTTGTGCAAATATTGTTGGCAAATGGAAACGGTGTTTAAGTTTAACTGTTTAAGTGATTAAGCAACATATTGTTTAAGGTTGTAAATTTGAATTTTGAATGTTGAAATTATGGAAATTAGTATTTCTTTAAAATTGAATTGAGTTTGTAATTTTGTAACTAAAACAAATGTGTAAATGATGGGTTTGTAATTTGACAATTTGTAAATTAGTATTTCTCTAAATGTATAATTGCTGTTTTGCAGTTTGTTGTTTGCACTTTAGCTCTTTTTTTTTCCTTAAATTATAATTAAAAGTACTGTATAAACGGTTAACCGGGTCGGGTTGACCCGAAACCGAGACTGGTCGGTTTCGGGTTTCGAAAACCGACCCGTTTATAAAACCGGGTCGGGTTGACCCGATCCCGAATAAAGCCGGGTCACTTACGAGTCGGGTCGGGTTTGACCCGTAACCCGAAACTAGCAGGTCTAAGTTCAGATGAAAAGAATCCTTCGAACATATGAGTGTACATGCTGTGCATAAATTTGTACACTGTCTACACTCACTTATTAGGATTGTTCTTTCTGTCTGGACTTCGCACATAATAGTTTCTCATACTAGAGACACTTAGATTTTATTTGGGATAACTCTCTTACTATTTTATTTTTCAGATCATAATCATAATTTCTATCTGATCATAATTTTTGGCTGCTTTCAAAAAAAATTTGTACGAGGTAGTTGTTTTTACAATAGCTTTTAAAAAATTACTTTCTTAGCTTTACGACCATCTTTATAAAAAGCTACAACATTTTCAAACATATCCTTAAATTTATTTTAGAGTGGCTTAATTTTCTTATAGTTTTATTTTGTGGATGGCTATCAAAATTTTATTTGATTATAAATTTTTTATTATTTTGTAAATTGTTTTTGTTGGAAAGTATTTCTTACAACAAAATTTATTTGAGTATAATGAAGGTAACAAAATTATTATTTGATTTACAAAATCACAATACTCATATTTATTTGTTTATTTATTGTATAATAATTTTACAATCTTTTTATAGACACTTTCAATAAACCATAATGAACCCTTAATTTGTTTTGGTTGAGTAATTATGGCAGGTCAGGTTTATCAATAAATTATCGGAATTTAGGCTAAAATGTCCACCTACATTTTTTCACTTTTATGAAATTTTCAACATACAAATATATAATTTTGATAATAATAAAAAAAAAAGATATTGGGGTTACTTTTGTAAAAATAATAAAATTTGAATCTTATTTATGTAACTCTTAAAATTAATCTATCAATTCAATTTTTTTTTTTATTTACATTCAAAGTTAGGCTCTCATTCTCAATTCAAATAATTAAGTCTCTAATCATGCCAAAAAGGCTCTGTTCTCAATGAACAATTTGATATTTGCTCATATAATGCTATATATGTTTATTTATTTATATAATTAAATAAGTTTAAACAAAATTTTAAAAATTCATCATTTAAATAAATAAATTTGAACACTTATTTATTTGTTTATTTATGAATATTTATTTATGTTAATGAACCAGTTGTTTGTTATTTAATAAGTTTTTATTAAAAATAATAATAAAATATTTGATAATTTAATATTTTATTTGATGGCTTATTATAATTATTGAATGAACATTATACAATTTATATGTTTTAAAAATTATATATATATATATATATATATATGGGCCCTTTGGTAGCAGGATTTAAATCATATTTGAGCGAAATTCAACCAAACGACCTAAAATGTAAAACCAAATCCCATGGTAGATGGAAAATAGCCGCGGTAGATGGAAAATTCTGCCTTTTCGTGCTACTAGATTTCTGAAATCCTGTTTTTTGCTGGATTTACGAAATCCATTGGCTCGAGATGAAGAGTCCGCTCGTTAAATCCGTTATATAGCCAAACAGTCGCACAATATTTAATAGGATTTATCATGAATGTTACCAAACAGTTTTCAGGATTTAGACCTCTTAAGATTTCCGAAATCCGGATTTAGCGGATTTACGAAATCCTATTTAAATCAAACCCTACGTGCTACCAAACAGCCCCATAATGAAAATATCAAATAAATAACTAAACATATAAATATAAATATTATCTTATTAATATTTAAAATTTATTAAACAACTTAAAAATACACCAAACAAACTACATAATTTTATTAAAATTTATAAGTCATTTATATTAATTAAGTTATATATTTAAATGGGTAACATTAATTATGTAATTAATTAGACTTGATTACTTTAAAATGTAGATTATGACTCGATGGCATTTTCAGCAAAATTTCCGTCAACTGACGTAACCCGCGGGTTAATCTGTTCCGGTAAGGTCACCCAACACGCCTGATAGCTTTTTCAGAATTCGTGACGTGGTGACGCTATTCGATATATAGTAGAAGCCAGAATTTCTTCTCCGTCCTTTCTCTGAAAAAAGAGGTGAAGAAAACTTCCAGAATCCCGCCACTTGCAGCCTTTTCTTCGCCTGCCGATTGCTTTCGAAGAGGCTCGTGGATGGGCAATTTACTGCTAAAGATCCTCGTCGCAATCGCGATCTTCTCATTTTCTTTTCCGAGCTCGTTATCTCTGCCGTTTATCGTCATACATGGTTCGTTCTTTTGTTTATGCTTCGTTGTATTGTAATTTCAGTGGTTAGGTAATAATCGAGGGGTTCTGGCTGCAGTTTGGTTGATGGGGTTTTGTGAGAGGCGTAGGGTTTTTGGGCTTTTTTTGCTAATGTTGTCGTTCACTTTGGTCAGGAATTGGCGACGCATGCGGTAATCGGGGGATGAAGCAATTCACAGAGCTACTGAGCGAGTGGTCTGATTCTCAAGGATACTGTTTGTGGGTAGCTCTTTCCATCTCCTCATGATTTTGTTTGGATTGTATTGCTAAGATCTAGTTGTTTATGGTGAGTGGTGTTAGCTGTTTCTGGTTTTGGTCTATTGTTTCGTGAATGAAGCGAAGGCGAGATGATTTTTTTAGTGATGTGGTGCATTTGGATCTTCAGTGAAAGCAATGCTTATCCTGATTTGCTGATAGTTGGGGAAATTCCTTGTGAAGGTTATTTGGTGGGATAGCTTTGTTTATTTATTTTTTTACGGTATGATTTTTTCATTTTTATTTCAATGATTGGAGTTGCTGGGAAGAAACAGTTGCATGTTCAGTTGCTTCATGCATCTCCTTTGAGTTTTTTTTTTCTTGTTAATGTTCCATTAAGAAGCGTCGAGAGTGATTTTTTGTTAGGATCTTTATTGCAGTGTGACGTCGATAGCTCTATCGTGAATGGTGTAGTTTAAGTTGAATCGATCAGATTTTGAAGTGGAGTTGTTTTAGGTTTAGTTTTCAATAGATAATCACTCCAATACCCTCACAGAGTATTTATGTTGTGTTAGATCGCTGCTTGCAGTTCTAGAAGAAATTTCCTGTTTGTTGCATGTGATTTCAACCCTCCATGTGACCGCTCAATGTTTCGAACTGTTTTGTATTATTTTAGGGAAATTGGAAAGGGTGCAGTGGACTCATGGGTTTTGCCCCTTCAGAACCAGGTTGGCTCATCTTATAATTCTATGCTGGTCTTGCTTCTGAAACATTCGATTTTGAAGTGGCCCTAATACATTTACTTTACATGTTTACAGACAGATATTGTTTGTGAAAAGGTAATACCTCTATTTTTGAGTAACTTGCGTTTGCATCAATAGCGTTGTTGGAGTTTTGCAGAAATAAGCCATATCCTCATTTGTTGATGTCAGGTGAAGGAAATGAACGAACTGAGTGGAGGTTTTAACATTGTTGGCCTTTCTCAGGTATTAGTTTAACTTGCTTGTTTTTTTTTCCCCCTTACTTTTCTTGCTTCATTAGCGCAATCTAATACTAGAAGACATCTTATGGAGTTTGTTCTTCAAAAACATGTGAATCATAGTTTATTTCCTTCACCTTAGCCAAAGATAAAAAACCACCCTATTAAAAGATTTGAAGCCTCCACATCCCTTCAGTCCCTTAAACTTTTCTTCCATAGCACTAGGTTTCGTAGTTTGCTCTGGTCATTCTAGTTAGAGTGTGCTATTATTAAGATAAGTATATGTTGTGATACTCTTTGTATCCTATATTTACAAGCAGATCAATTAGTTACATGTTTTTCACAAGAAGGGTTTGAAAGAGAAAAAAAAATACTTGTGTTTAATATATAATCAATCACAGCCAGGATGAGTTATCCTTATATGTAGGCTGCACCTAGTGCTTGCATGTGATGCATGTTTCTAATGGACATATGAAGGTTCTACACGGACATGCTATGAGGACTTTATAAGTTGCACGTGCAGTGTTTATTGGCTTCGGAGATAATAATACGAATGAATTCTGTAAGGCTTCCAACAGGAACCTTGAAGAATTAACTAAAAGAAAGATCGGGCCATATAAAACCATATAATATAGTGGGTTAGATACTTATGAATTAAAATTTTTGAGAAGCTTTGCTAGTATTCCAAACTTCAATATATTTTATTTGACCTTTTTCTCATGAACCTAATACTAGTTCCATGAATTTCTCTTTTATTCCATCCATTTTTTATGGTTATCCAACAACTCATGAGATCAATCTACTCATCTTATTCTATGAGCTATCTCATATGTAGGGATTTTGTTTTCTATTGATGGTAGATATCACATGTTTCTTGTACCTTAGGATCGCTAATTTATTTGTCATGATTCATTGTTACCTTGTAGAAAGCACAACAACTTTGCCCCTATATACTTGACAAATATTAAATGCTCTATTTGTTGGAGCTAATTTATTTTTAAAACTTGGATTAGTATAATTCTTGATGGAATTATCATTTAATTTGAACTTAATTTGGTTGACATTTTAGATAGAGCTTCCTCTTTTTGTAGAATATGTTTATGATTGAACTAGATTTATCCTTGATGTAATTTTCCTAATTAAAGACCTGGTTTTTGTAGAAAATTCAATATCATCTTATTCTTATGTAGCCCGTTGGTATTCTTCCTCTTAGATATCATAGCAAATTGTGTGGATGCTTGGGAATCGTGCCATTCATCTTAGGTATTGTCACAATCGTTAATTATGGTTTTAATAACTTTTTTATAATCAACATACAATCTTGTTGTCCGACAGAGGGAAACCCATTGTTTATTTTCTACAAAAATTTATGACTCAAGCAATAAGCTATTTCATTCCAAAGCAACGAACTTAAAGGTCGTTCCAACAAACCCAAAGCAAAGAAAATCACTTTGATGATATCTTGAGAATAAAGAATAAAAAAAACAAATGACAAAGTTGTTGGAATAACAAGGGGAGATTCTAAATAGAGAGAAGTCATCCATAGTGTGAATTAGCGATCGAGGTACCTTTTATTGTTTGATAGATCAATAGGGAGCCTCCAAAAAGAATTTTTAAAGCCTTTTGAATCCATTTTAGCCCTCATGGTGCATTTATGGAAGAGTGTCGAGAGATTGGTTATGAATCATCTAATTGCAATTTTATAAACTGTATATCTCATGTGATCCTAAAATATCACGATAGATATTTTTTGATCAAGTAATATCATGAAGGTAATTCTTACTAATACAACTATTTCTGTCACTTAATATAGATTGTAAAAAGAGGTTTCTTTTGTTGTTAAAGATGCAACTTTTCAAAAAATGAACAATAAGAATGATTTCATCTGACTAATAATTTTTTGTAAAATTAGTCAAAAAATTCTAACACCCCTTTTGAATCCTGTAATTTTCTTGGGATGACATGATGTGATTAGATGCTTGTCAAACAAAGTCTCCCCCCTGGTGCAGCTAAACTTTTTGGTGTTTCCTTGATGTTGCAAGCCCATTCTTCTATAGCCAACTCATGTTGGTTGATGTAGGTAGTTCCTCTTGGTGTAGATGACCTATATGATTCAATCAACCCCTCTAGGTAGTGTTGTCTCAAAGTTGCTTTATGTAGCCACTCTTCGGAATGTTCTCATTAGCAGTCACCCTTGACACGCCTTTAACTAATTTGGATTGATTCTTCTCGGTTATGTGGTGTTAGATTGCAGTAGGTTAGGGTAAAGGCTATTTGGAGTCTATTCATAGGCGGTGACTCTTTTTGAAATTCTGTACTCAGTTTGAGCCTCTACGAAAACCTGAAAGTTTCATATCTAATCCTAATATCTTGTGAAAGCAAAAATTCTAGGAACTATAAATCCAAAGTCCAGTATGCATAAAGAAACCTAGTCAAAAAGTCTCTTTTGCTCTTTCCTTGACATCAGGTCAGTCCAGGCTCTACTCTAGCGTTCTTGCTGTTTAACTCTTTGGTTTCCTATTATTTTAGGCTCTGACTTCTATAGCATAAATTTGTACTAGATGACTGCAGTATTTCATTATCTTGCAAGTGCCTATTTTTTATGCCTTTGTATTTCTTTATTTTATATTGTCCTTAGATCTCTAAAATAATAATGCTTTCTTTTATTATTTTGCATTAGAAATCTCTTGGATTAGTCTTCAAGTGTTGATCATAATCAGCAATGAAAATACTAATCAAGATTGTCTTTATCTATTTTGCCCAGGGAAACTTGATAGCTCGAGGGATAATTGAACTTTGTGATGGTGCACCACCAGTAAGAAACTTAATCTTGACATATAATTAGCATTCATTCGTTTTCTGATTAAAAACTTGATTTTAACAGCTAGATGCTAATTTATGGGTATTAGCAAGGTGCAAAATGTTTTGATCTAATGATTCTAAGAAAGAATGCAAAAAATATGAGCATAAATGCTTTAAGCTTTCGTAGAAGATAATTTTGGAATGTTTCATCATAGGAATTTGCCTTGTATTGATACTGCCTTTTTAATTTGTTTTCTATTTTCTTGCTGGACCATTTCTTCTTTGATGGAGACAGTGCATGAGGCCTGCAACATGTCGTCTAAAGCAGTTTCAATTGATAGGCTTTGATGCTAACTTACTGGGCATCTATATTTAATTCTACAGCTGTATAACATTCTTGCGGTACAACAATTCATAAAGGCACTTTCATGCATTTGTTAGAATTGTTTCTCTGGATGATTGGAGCGCATTATTCTTCTTTTCTTACATGTTTTATTACTTTATATAAAGTAACTCTGACTTATTCATCAACATGAGTTGGAAAATATTAAATTATGAAGTTGTTTATGATTTAAAGGTCTAAATTGATGATATAGCAACATTTTATGGATTCACTCACTTGATATTCCCAAGTTGAAGTTCTTTACAAAGAAATTAGAGAACATAAATGCTCGGTTTGCAAGTTTCATGTTTTAATCTAAATTGCAATATCATCATTTTTTCTTATTAAGCATATCACACGTTCCCATCTTCTTGATGTCTTTGTATATTTTTTGCTATTTGTTATGAAACGGATTTGTGATAATTTGTATTTCAAAGCTGCGCCTGATTTTTAAATAACAAGTAGACCAAATTGGTTAATTATTTTTATTTTGTTGCACCCCAACACTACTATTAAATAAGGTTCCATTTCTCAAATGTAAATATTGGGCTTATTATTTATTACTCAAGATTGAGGCCGTTGTTTTCTTTCATCTAATTTTTGTAGGTCACCTACACTTATGTATCCCCTTGTAAAGGATAGATTAGGAGTTTGTCAATGCTAATTTTGAGATAACATCAAAGATCAAAGAATGAAAGACAAATATAATAATTTGAGAGGAGAATCATAAATAGAGACAAGTGCAAATATTATAATTCTTAAAGTATTTCACCGCTGGACAGAGAACTTTTACTTTTTGTTTTTTAGGAAGAAAAAAAAAGGATTTGTGTTATTATGAATATGTGGCATTTATAATATTGTGATCGGATCTTTCTTTTTTGTTGAGGACTGGACTTGCAAATATTCTCATGAAATTTGATTTTTTTTTTAAATTTAATTTATTTTCTTGCATGAATTATGTAGTTATTGCTCAATCTTCATCATGGATAATATTAATGTGTATTATTAGGACACATGTCCTTAGATGCTTAGAATGTGTATAAAATTTATATCACAGTTCATACTGACTTTTCTTGACATCTATCACGTCCACCACCTAATCGACTTGATTCTATACTCAGATTTAAGTGGGGTTGAGTCCACCATCTTAGAATGCGGAGGCTTTTAGGTTGTTATATCAACCTACGAAGCTCTCATGGCATTGAGTTGGCCCATAGTCATGTTGAATGAAGATGTGGTCAAGTCACATAAAATGTTGGCCTTCTGATGACCCAGTTAGAAAAGTAGATGTATTATATCCGGCCTATGTTAAGAAAAGTAGAGATAGACCTAAAAAAATTTGGTTAGAAAGTATTAGAAATGACCTTTTTATTAGATTTAAATGAGAATTTGACTCTTAATAAGACACTATTGAGAAAAAAGATTCTTGTAGTTGATCCCATGTAGTGGGATAAAGGTTTGATGTTGATGTTGCTATTGTTGTAGTATATTTTGAAGAAGAAAATAGTCGTTTTCTGCTGTCCAAAGTTCTGTTGTGGTCTGTGATCATTGGCAAAACAACATGCTTTCTGTTTTTGATTGTCTTAGAATGGGGTGAACCGTCCACAGCTCTTCCCAATGCTAGACGAGAAGGTATGTATTCATTCCATCGTGCTGCGGAGGTGTAAAGAATTATAGAGGGAGAAGTATAGTAATTCTCGCTATTTAATTTTTATGGCTTAATTGACATTCTATTTTTTTGCTGTGGACTTTTTCACAAATTTGTATTCACGAGTATTTAGTTGGATCATCAATCTTAAAATGCATAGCGAGTAGCATTCCATTCCATATCACTTTAGTAAAAATTACATAAATATCTTGAAGAAGGCACCATATTAGTTTTGAAGTTAAGAGATATTATAGTATATCAGGCATGTTGGAAATAATTTACAAAAGAATTAACTGTTTTCCTTTGTAAGCATGCAGGTTACTCATGACCCTCTTGATTAGTTGTTATGCCTCTTAGGGCTAGGGGTGTCAATTCGGGTCGACGGGTCGGGTTTGGGTCGAACCCGAGTTGACCCTGTTCTAAACAGGTCAACCCGAACCCGACCTGTTTTTGTAAACGGGTCGGCTATCTCAACCCGGACCCGACCTGCGCGGGTTGCCGGGTTGACAAGACCCGACCCAGTTACTTAAATTGGTAGCTGCAGGCGGCAGCAGGTGCGGCGGCAGACCAGCGTCTAGCGACCAGCCGGAACGCGTCGCCACTGAACCCGAACCCCAAGCGGGCACGGGGCACTGCTGCGCTGGCACGCGATGGCGAAGCCGAAGCGGCACGCGAACTGTGAAGCAGGCTCCCAAGCCGAAGAGGCACTCGAACCGCGAAGCGGGCTCTGCCGCGCCGGCAGCCGGGCAGGGACGCGTCGGGCAACCGGGCAGTCGACACGGGCAGCCGGGCAGGGACCATTTTCAGGTCATTTTCGGGTTCCCGGGTCAACTCGAACCCGACCCGATTTTTGAAACGGGTCAGTTTACTTAACCCAAACCCGACCCGTTTCATAAACGGGTTGACCCGAACCCAGATTTTTCCGGGTCAGGTCAAAAATTGACACCCCTACTTAGGGCAATCTCTTATTGTAAGAGGTCTTCAGCTAGCTTGTTTGTTGAGATTTCTAGTCAGATTGGACCTTATTTCTTTCATTCTTACTGCATCTTCTCTTTTGGTCTCCTCATGGCTGCAATTCTCATGTTTTTCTGAACTATGTTAACTTTTGAGAATTATCTTTCTATTCAGGATATTTTGCAAATATATTTTGTACTGCTTTTAAATAAAAACATTATCTACAGGTGGAAAATTTCATCTCCTTGGGTGGCCCTCATGCTGGTACAGCTTCGGTACCACTTTGTGGCGTAAGTGTTCTTTTGCAATTAATTTTTCATACAATTTGATTTATTTTTGTTTGAATTCCAATCAAATGCTCTAATTCCCCATAAAAAGTCGAATTGGAGAATTAATTCACTTATTACAATGCTTGTAATAATTTAAAATAGAAGTGCCAAATGTGCTAATTTTACATTAGTAAGAGTTTTTTTTTTTAACCTCTGTAGATTCTGAAACTAAATTATAATGTTTTATCATCTAGCGCAATAATTTTGATAGAGTACAACTTATGTATGCATCGTAAGTCCAAGGCTTTAATCTCTTCACCTAAAAAAAACTGTTATTTTAATCCAAGACGTGCGTGGTATTATGGCAACTGCTTCTTGTACATTTCATATTGAGATGAACTATTTCTTATTCTTTACAATTGCGACAATCTAGCTATATTAATAAAGGTTCCTGTAGGAATTTCATTTTAAATCTTAAATTTTAAGTAGCATGGATAGCAACAGGCTCTGTATCCATACTGCTAATTCTTTGCCAAGATTATTTTGTATGAAAAATTAATGTTTTTTTATTCTAGTTATTTTACTCTCGTCCTTTTTACTATTACTGCTAAAATTACTGCTGTTTGCTATTTAAGCAGTCAGGAATTTTCTGTGTGATTGTTGATGCACTCATTAAAGCAGAGATCTACAGTGATTATGCGCAGGTTTGTATTTTGATTCTGAACTTCCTATAATGGGTCAGGTAAATGAAATGTGTGATACAACTGCCTAGTGCAAGGATGATTCTTCTCGGCATTATAGATAATCAACTATAAAACAGTCTCTAAATTTAATGGCCAGTTCTAACTTTAAAGCTTTGAACTGCAGGAACACCTTGCTCCTAGCGGATATCTTAAAATTCCTACTGTGAGTTCTTTTTATCTGAGCCACCCGTATGCTTTTTTGTATATATAAAATATTTGTATGTATGATTCTAGCTCCAAAAGAAGCAGCTGTGTGAAATGCTGGTTGTATGCTGTAGCTTAAGAGGATCTATTGTGCCAATGCTCCACTACAAGAGACTCTTTAAATGATGAACTTGCTTTTTGGTTTGTATTGTATTATCATGGAAACCAAATTATTCAGTTTATAATCAAGCTAGGTTAGCAGAAATAGGGTTTGCAAACAGTCAAGTTTCGAGTGAGTTAAACCAAACTCCCAATCGAAATGAATAAGTTTAGGTTGACTCAAAGTCTTCTGCAATTAAAATGTATTTCGATTAGATTCGAGTCGACTCGGCTCAAAAAGAGTTGATTTCAAATCAACTCAAAATGAGTTCTGGTTGACTCAAATTAACTCTCCTTAAATTAAATTGACGTCTAGTTAGCTTGAATCCACTTTGATACTCAAATGCATCAGATGCATTGTATTGTAAACTTTCAAGGGTAATGATATTTCATAAAAAAATACTATTTAAAATTTGTTAATTATCTTAAAGTGCTTATTATGGAAATTTGCATGAGCGATGAGAATTTTGAAAAGAATAATAAAAGAAATTATATACTATTATTATTATATTAGAAAAGTAAAAAATTTCCCATTCCTCCCTATATTTGTCGCGACTTGCCTCATCGTGATGCTTGACTCATAAGGCTATTTGTTAGACATCAACATATTCTATTAGATCCTAAAATTATAAAAAACAGTGTGAAATTTGGTTTACAATCATGGAAGAGCAACCTACAAATATAAAGTTCATCAAAGAAGAAGAAGGAATCAAATACATTAAACATCAGTACTATAGTTCAAAAAAGACAATCTATCTTTCCCATTTTCGGCTAAAGAATTACCGAACAACATGGTTTAAGCCATTATGTCTACACACATGGTTAATCTATCAAGCACCAGTTTTATCATATTTTAGTATTATTGTTATATAGACCTGTTCTATGTTGTCCTATTTAGTATTTTTATTTTATAGACTGGTTCTTTATTGTAAAATTGATTTACCCAATTAGTTTAAATACCCTCTTGTTGTAAGAAATTGATCATGGAATAAATAATTTTCTAAATTCTCTAATCTTGTCCACTCTTGAGAGTCTACTCCTGCTCTAAAGGTGCTTTTCCTTCTTGGTTTGCCAAGAAGCATATCACCATTCAACCTCATTTAAAAAAAAATTTGTTTAAGAAAAGAAAGAAATGAAACAAAAAATCCCTAAGATGTCCCCTCTCCCGAATTCGCTCATTCTCACACACCACACCCTCTTTCACTCCTGCACCTCTACTCGTGAACCCCTTTTTTTTCTCCGATTGTAGTTTACTACCACAAATGTCAGCCACCCAAGCTTGCTCATCCCCCAACCACCTGAGCTCATTGCTTGAGCTCTATTGTAGCCCAGCTGTGACACCTACACTCGAGCTTATTAACGCCACCACATGCAATCGAGCCTGCCATTGCTGTCACCCTCTCTCAAACTCCCTCTTCCCTAGATGCCCGTCGTTGACAAATCCTCACCCGTGTGCATGCTACCATTGTCTTTGTTGACACCGGCTCCATTATTGTTATATCTGCTCAATATTTGAAACCAACCACCCCTCCTCCCTCTTCCAGCCTCTTTGTTTCTCTCGACCACCCATCTCTTTCTTTCTCTCTCTTCCTACTCACTCTTTCTATCCAGAGAGAGAAAGCAATGAAAAAAGGAAGAAAATAAGAAAAAAACAAATAAGTAAATATATATATATATATATATATATATTTTTTTTTTTGCGCTTTCACTTCTCGACTCTAACATTGCCTCTGTCAGGTCCTAAGTCCTGGATGAGAAAAGTGAAAGGTTGTGTTAGGTAGTTGACAGCCAGCATAAACCTTGTCGAATAATCATGACATGAATCCTTTAAAAAATTGTGTTAATGTTAGGGCATCCCCTGGAAGTGACGTGCTGTATGACCTAAATACAATGACAAGTGTGCAAGGTCCGTTGCATTGGCGCCCGGGTGCTGTGTTAAATAGGCAAGGGTTCCCACATCAAGGATGAATGTGGGCAAAAAAGCTAGTCCATGAAACTAAAATTAGGATAGGAACTTGAAATATAGGTTAATTACAGGAAAATTAATGGAATTAATAGACATTATGATTCATAGGAAGATAAATATTCTATGCATACAGGAAACTAAATGGTTTAGAGAGAAGGCTAAGGAGATTGATAGTTTAGGATTTAAATTATAGTATTTTGATAGGAGTTGTACTAGAAATGGTATAGGTGTGATATAGATTAGAGTTTGAAGGATAATGTTATAAATAATAATAGAATTGTAGATAGAATTATAGCTTTAAATATTATTGTTAATGCTAAGATTTTAATATTATAAGTACTTATGCTCCTCAAGTAGGTTTGGATATGGGTTCAAAATTAAAATTTTTGAATGACTTAGAAGAATTAATACAAAAGATACATATTGAAGAAAGTTTTTATTGGAAGAGATTTAAATGAACATGTTGGTAGAGAGTTAGATAATTTTGAAAGCATTCATGGTGGCCATGGGTTTGAAATGACAAATGAAGGTGGTAAGACCATTTTAGATTTTTTCTTAGCTTATAATTTTTTAATTGCTAATACCTTATTTAAGAAAAGAGACGAGCATCACATCATTTATAAAAATGAATATAATAAAATTCAGATTGATTATTTTCTTATAAGAAAATTAGATCGTTTAGATTGCAAAGATTGTAAAGTTATTTTGAGTGAAAATTTATGTAGCCAGTATCGATTATTAGTTTTAGACTTTAATATGAAGGGACATAAAATAAAAAATAAATTCAAACGATATTATAGGATTATATGGGGGCATTTAAAAAAGATTAATATAAATATTTTTGAGAGTAATATTTTAGATCTTAAGATTTTATTTTTGCATAAGGATGTTAATATTATATGGAAAAAAGAGGCTAGTGATATTAAGATTATTGCAAAGGATGTGTGTGGAGTATCAAAGGGAAAAGCTCCTAATAGTAAAATAGTTGGTCTTGGAATCCAATTATGCATGAAAAGATAAAAAATAAGAATATTTGTTTTAAAAATTTGTTTAGATGTAAATTTTTTTATAATTGGGATATATATAAAGAGGTACGTAAGGAATCTAAGAAAGTAATATGCGATGCAAAGATCTTAGCTTTTAATGATTTATATAATAAATTAGATACTAAGGAGAGAGAAAGATATATGTATAAGTTAGCCAAACAAAGATATAAGAGTTGTAAGGATTTAGTTCAAGTGAAGTGTGTTAAGGATGAAGATCAAAAAGTACTTTTCTTAGAAGATGATATTCAACAAAGGTGGATGAGATATTATGCTAAACCTTTTAATGAAGATTGTGAAAATACAATTGACTTTAGTGACCTTCGCACCCTAAATGAAAATAAAGATTTCTATTTTTATCAGCGTATTAATAAAACTAAAGTTAGAAAAGCTTTAAAGAAAATGAAGTGTGGAGAAGCTGTTGGACCTGATGATATCTTAGTAGAGGTGTTGAAATGCTTAGGAGATGAAGGAATTTTTTGGTTTACTAAACTTTTTAATACTATTTTGAAGACTAAAAGATGCAGATGAGTGGAGAATGAGTGCGCTAATTCATTTTTTTAAGAATAAAGGTGATGCATAAGATTGTGCGAATTATAGAGGAATTAAGTTAATGTGTCATACTTTAAAACTATGGGTGCGAGTTATGAAGCGTAGGTTGCGGCGTGATACTAATGTTTCTCAAAATCAAATTGGATTCATGCCGGGTAGGTCTACTATGGAAGCCATACATTTATTGATAGGTTTGATGGAGAAATATAGAGAGACTAAGGAGGATTTTATAAAAAGGCAGCCTTCTGATGGAGATGTTATTACATCCGGTCAAAAAATCGGAAATCCGGACTTATACCGAGCAATACCGAGTTTTAGGTGACGTATACCGAGTTTTAGGTGATGTGGAGCGTGATTATTGGTCTCTAGATGCATCCGGTGACCGGATGTAATAATTGCTCCTTCCGATGACCCGGTTAGGAAAGTCCTAATACTCTTGGTTAGAAAATATTAGACCTAAAAAGACTTGATTAGAAAATATTAGAAATGATCTTTCTTTATTAGATTTAAACGAGAATTTGACTTTTAATAGGACACAATGTAGAAAAAGGATTCATGTAGCTGACCCCACGTAGTGGGACAAGGGCTTGATGTTGTTGTTTTTGTTTCACTTCTCGACTCGTTATCGTCATTGTGGTCTCGACCACACGCCCAACGGTATAAAATTCATGAGCTCAAAAAAATCTCCAATATCCCGAATGTGTTGCTTTTAGCATATGACGAGTGAAACATATACACGCTTTTCTTAGCACGATAAGAAAACTCATTAGTGATGCTCATGATGTAACATGTAAGCCATGCATGCACATTTTTTAGTTTAGCAAGAAAATTTTAGTACATGCACATATCTTTCTTGACACGATAAGGAAAAGTACAAGTTATATAAGTGTCTTGACGGGCTAGCCTAATACTCTTGATGACATTGCCTTTGTGGGGAAGATGCTGTGAGGTTGCCAATTTTTTCATTGAATGGGGACTTGAAAAAAGAATAAAATTAAAATAACTCACGCACAAGAAATGCAATAAAAAATAAAACAATGATAAATATAAACTATCATAAACTTGCATATGAAATTTCTTACACGCCTTTCATGGCATAGTGGGATAGAAGATACTGACAACACTTTTCTTGACATGATGGGAAGACATCATTCTCGATGGCACCCCATACTTGGGGAAGACATCGAGACGTTGACGAAATCTACACTAATTGGAGATTCAAGCAGAATATTATAGGAATTTTTGAGATAAATGCAATAGTAAAACAAATTAAAATTAAAATTTAAAGTTACAAAAAAGGATATCAAAATTATAAGATGAGAAATCGATTGAACATTAAATTTAACCGAAACAGGGCTTATAGGGGACTTGTAATTAACTCAACAGCTTACCAATGAGTGCAAACTAGAGTTCCTTTTTACTCCTAGAACTTTCTTGAACACTCTTGGTGATTTGAAATTGGGATGAAAATGAACCAAATAGCTTCTCTATTTTGAACATGAAATTTGATTTGCTGTGGGCTCATTCTAACTAAAATTTAATTATTTGTAAACGAAAGGGAGGAAAATGTGAAAAAATGGGTGCGAAAGAGAGGATGGTATGGAAAGTATGCTAAAAATCTACTTCGTGAGATACATCACCGGATCCGCAATATATATACACAAGTGGACAAAAGTTAGAGGGTGATTTTTTAAAATGAAATATTGCGCGCATTTTATCGATAAATGCTCGCATTTGAATTCATGACACACACAAGCAAACAAAATACAAGTAATAGTGAACCCTAAGCAGATATAATGCAAAATAAGTAACCCAAAATACAAAGTCACCAGCACATTCCACGGACAAGTCGTTCACGTGAACTATTGCTACATTAGACTAATACATATTTCAAATAGTTGATTTCACATTCCCAAATGAAGCAAAGTTGTCTGGGTATCGTCAGTACGCAAGTGATAATTATTAAAAAGAGGGCTCGTACACATCCCGTGGATAAATAGTATGCCCTATGAATAAATAGTGCAACCCATGAAGAATTTTTTTATTTGAGACAGAAATGTATTGTTGATGTCACATGTCTCACAACCATTTTGACAAAGTGTGCGGGACGTATCAAATCACACACATAAAAAAAAATATTTAGGCGTCTCCTAAATTTATAATGCAAATTTACTCAAAGTGTGCAAATGCACAATACAAAGTGCACAAAATAACATGCGAGTGTACTGGTCATTGTGCCAGCGTACTGTCTAAGTAGACCGAATATCATTTAAACATGCAAGTGTGCCACACAAGTGTACTAAGAAATATACAAATGCCTTGTGTGAATGCTCCTTGAAATGCATAAGTATGCCTTGTACAACAACAAACAACATCAAGCCTTTATGCTATTGGATCCTTTTTCTTTGTTGTATCCTATTAGAAATTAAATTCTCATTTAAATATAATAAAAAAATAGATCATTTCTAATATTTTCTAACCATGTCTTTTGATGCCTACCTCTACCTTTCTTAACATAAGTCACTAATTATGCCTTGTAAATACATCAAAAAGCATGCTCAGCACATTGAACCCTTAAAATCAAATTTTCTTACGTGATCTAACAATGTTAAATGCTCAAATACAAAGTGATTTAGGGTCTGTGGGATCTTATAGTAAATATATCAACTTGATTGTTATCTCTTTAGGCTTGTGATGGAAGGGTAATTTAGGTGGTGGTAAATGAGAATTTAGATTTTGGATAGATTTGAAGTTGAAACTTTTAGGTGGTCAAAATACAAGTTTTTCTTGGAGAAAAATAATGAAGAATTCCATATTAAAGCTTTGGGATGTTAGAGAATTAATTGTGGTGTTTTTATGGGTTTTGGATTATAGTTGTTAAGGAGGCATGATATTTTTAATTTAGTTGTTCATAGCGAAAAAATTATCTCTGTATTAGGATTTTGGCTATGGTATCTTAGAGTTATTGGAAAGTTGTCTTGGAATGTTATGAGGGATGTATTAGAATATTTTGGAGAGTTTAAAAGAGGTTTGATGGATTTTGGAGTTGACAAAAGGCATGCTCAGGCTATGTAGTAAAGATGAAAATTATGTTAGAAAATAGGAGTAATAAGGGTATGAAAGATAATTAAATAGCTTCCAAAGAGTAGAGCAGTCATAAAACATTTTCACACGAAATTTATACAAGTAAAAATGTTTTTAATTCAATGAATTAAAATAGTACAAAACAAGCACTATTTATAGACTTGTATAATCTTAAACAATTTTGGAAAATCTTAGGAGCCAATAAATTATTATTACACGGATTGATGATTTGTCCTAATTCAAAGAGAAAAAAAAGAAGAGAAATAAAATAAAATTTAAAATTCCAAATAAAAAAAAAATCGGATTGGTCAAATTAAGCAGGTAGAGTGGTCTTGTAATCAATCAATTTATGAATGTTTTTATCTTCTTGACTGGTGTGACCCACCTATCGATCAAGAGGCCTGAAATTTAGCTTTTAATTATTCTCTCATAATTTTAATATGATATGAGACTTTCATGGGCTTGCATGAAGAGTTGTGTATGATGAATGATCTAATTTTTTATGTTGAGCTTTAGTTTATGATATTGTTATTCGCCTTAATCTTGATGATGCATCACAAGGTCCGTGAATGTTGCACGGTGTTAAAAGCAAATTGAACTAATAGTCTTGTTTTTAAATTGAAATCAATTTCATTGTATGTGTCTCAATAAGCATGTTAAATGCTCAATTACAATGTTTGAAATGCTGCATGAGATTAAAAACAAATTGAATTAAAGTTTATTTTTTTGAATTGAAATCAATTTCCACACAAGTGTTTCGATAAAAGTGCTCTCAAATTACTAAAGGTTAAAAAATAATTGAACCAAAATTCTCTTCTTGAATTGAACTCAATTTCCCCGCATGTGCTTTGACCAATTCATCAAATTTTTAAATTTAAGAGCAAAGAATTTGTGTGGGCTAAAATAAAAGTGACCTTAAAATTTTAGTTTGATCCTCTTTGTAAGGACTAAAGTTGACGAGCTTTGAATCTCTCATATCTAAGTAATGAGCTTTCAATGGTGTACTACAAATCTTATTCTTGCAAATGAACATCCATGCGTCTACGAGATTAGTGAAATATTTGGTTTTACGTGTGCATTAGGTTTTCAATGTCTTTTGTATAGCAAATTCATTTAAAAATTCAAACTCTCTAGTTTGCCACAAGTCAATATTTGAACATGATCTTTTGTCGATAAGAGGGTAGAGTTGACAAAGTTAAAATGTACTGATAAAATATTTAAAAATCTAGATGATGGATGCGTTTACCGAAAATATGAACCATAGAGGACTATGTTTCTTTCAAAATGCTCCCAAATCTCTGATGCAAGTTACTTCGAAGTTATATTCAAATACCCATATAAAATTCCATTAAAAATTAATAGTTTAATAAAATATATCACCCTTATTACTTAATGTAAAATCCATCCATCCATCCTATGCAATCATTTATTTAGGGCTATAAATTAGAGAATAACCTCAGCTCACAAATAGCTAATTTCTTATCAAGCATATCACTATGATTCATTTTTAAATAGTTTCTCACTAGTAAGGGTGTGACATGTGTCATCTAACTCTTAGTTTTGTGTTGTAAAATGACATCACAAGTAAACAATCATGTCTTGGGCCCTCTAATCGGGTGATTTTGTCGCCAAATCACAATATTGAATTACAACCATGAATAGAACCTGCAAATTCTCTAATGACTAAAAACAATTTAAGTAATGGATCACAATAAGCACTTGATATGATATAAAAATCTTCTGTTAACTAAGTTTGAGTCGAATTGTCTCATTAGATAAACATCCGCCCCAAATCTACAATAGACCCTTGGATGAAGCAACCAATGAATGCTAATATAGCTTTGGTCGACTACCTCATATGACTAAGTATATCAGGAAATATGACAATTGGATGACAGTTATTTGGGATTGTGATCAGGATTGTTGTCATCATTTCCTCCATCATCCATTTTAAATTTATGGTGGTAAATTTCAAAAGAAATATCAAATTTGTTACTACAATACGCTCGATATGTAATGACTATTTAGCAGCTAGCTTTAATCGAAAGTTCTTTCATTATTGGGAGGAGTAATTCTTCATACGGTCTTACATGTACCGTTTAATCTACTACATTGCTTAACAAGGTGGTTAATTGTTTGATTATTTTTTACTACTGTTTAATCTACAATATTACAGAATTGTTTGACTGAAAGATGACCTACCCTAATACTCAGACTCCTAGATATCATCCTTTATCTTGGAAATCTTCATTTTCTTTATAACAGTGGCATACAGAACCTGAAGTAAAAAATATAAAAGTGAATGAACAGAAATCAACCTAGAAAGAAAATATTGAAAAAGTAGACATCGCTAACGAACACATAGCGAAGGCTGCGAAAAGTGCAAAAGAAAATTTCTTCTAGTTATCCACTTATCTTTTCATCGCATGTAACACTATTATCTATAAAGAACTGATTGTAAAATCTGAACTATTTATTTACTTCAGGACATGTCTCACTACTTGGAAAGATGCCGCTTCCTTCCAAAGCTCAACAATGAACGTCCGAATGAGAGAAATGCTACATATAAAGAAAAGTTTAGTGGACTAAAAAATTTAGTTCTTATCAAGGTATGAATTGGAACTTATACGCATTACTGCTATTTAGTTCATTTTATGTCTTTTTTTTAACGTGCCCTCATTGATATATTTGATTACATGTCTTTTAGAATGAGCAAGATAGTGTTCTGATTCCTCGAGAGACATCCTGGTTTGGATATTATCCTGATGGTGCCTTTAGTCCTGTTCTACCTCCACAACAGGTTAGGATATTAAAATCCTGGTCTTAGAGATTTAGGCTTCATTTGGGACGGCTTTTTCGTTGCTTCTTAAAACAGCTTTCTAGTAAAAAATTAAAATTTTTGTACTAGAAAGCTGCTTTAAAAAGTAACAAAAAAGTCAAGCCTTACTTGATTTATTATCAGTTGTTTTTGCGTCTGTTAAGCTGCAGGATTTGATAGTGTTTACCTTGATTTGCGTTTTTTATTTTCATAGGTGCTCATATAGGTCGTAGTATTTTCTTCGTTTGTATTATAATGAAAATTCCAGTCTGATGGCCATGTGCATGACGTCACAATGAAGCCAATGGGTTTAAGTGTAGAAGTCTTAGGTTTTGTTTGGGACGGCTTTTTTTATTGCTTCTTAAAGCATCTTTTTTTATAAAAATTTTAATTTTTGTACTAAAAAGTTATTTTAAGAAGCGTTAATAAAGCCGTCCCAAACAAAGCCTTAAGGTTAAAAGGTAATGGTCGTGCGGTAGTAGATAGTGAGCAACCAAACTTGTCTCGTTTAATTAGGAAATAGCATGTGGGGAAAGGCTGTTATAAAACATATGAGAAATTTACTTAGGCCTTCTCCAACCGATCTCCAAACGTATGAACTTTGTCACTCGCGAGCTCCAGCTGAGCGGCAAAACTTCCGGTATTTGGTTGCCGGTGAATAGTGCGATATCAATATTGGCGTTGCACTGTTCACCTGCATTATTTTCTGTCTCTACTGGATTCGCCGAAGAAACGTGCAAAGAGTAGAAAGACACGAAGGGCGCAAAATAGAGTTTGATTGGAGATGAATCACACCATTTTTTAGTTTCACTATATTTTGGAGTGAAAAATGGGATTTTCGGTTGGAGATGCCCTTAGCATTGTATCATAATTGACATGACCAAATCCAAGATGAGAAACTTGTAAATCTAATTTCAATGCTAAATCCAATTTTAATTTTAATTTTGAGCTATGTAAAATTATAAATTCCTTAACAAAAGACTAACCCTTTGTGAATATAAAAAAATGCTTCAATTACACTGCAGACCACGCTATACATTGAAGACTGGATCGGTTTGAGAGCTCTGGATGAAGCCGGGCGTGTGAAATATGTCAGCGTACCAGGAGGCCATCTTGGAATATCAAAGAGTGACATGAAAAAGTACATGGTGCCATATCTAAAAGACGAGTCTTCCACTCAGCCCCAGCAGATCTCAAGCTGGGCTGCTTCAGTTTGGGACAAAACTCTCTATAAAGTTGGTTTGCAGGATAATAGCGCTCCATTATCGCCCTTAAGTCTCAGTTTGGATGAACTGAAGGTATAGCCATTTTACAGCTCTGTAGCTTCTGGGCGTCTTCATTTATGTGATTAAATAGTCTCTCTACATGGTCATTGGCCCTTTACTGCATTGTAATATGTAATATGTATTGGTGTGAAGCGCTCTTGTGTGTTAAACTCACGGGAGCAGCAATCAATGACATTAGTACCTATAATACAATACAAAGTGTAGCTGCAGCTAAAGCTGCACACCATATCTATATTTCCTAAACCCTAAACTGTCAGAAGAAGTGATCGGTCCCATGTCTTGCTCAGTTTGATAATTGTCTCTAGTTACAGTCATTCTTATATTTAACAAGCCAAATATAAATAGTCTTGATTGAGTGTATTTAGCTTGGTTTATATATATATATGATTGTAAATAAATTTTTTCTTTGTGAATAATTTGTATTGGGCTTGTTAAGTTAAATATCTAAATCTATAAAAATTGGATAATTTTTGTGAGTATGAATGGAGTTAAATCAATTAAAATTTTTAATTAGCATATCACTAAATTATCAATGAAGTAAATGTTTATTTTAAATATTAAGCATATAAATATTTGGGTTAGATAAATAGTGTAAGATGTGTGTGAATAATTGAATAATTGTTTTTTATTTTTGTAAAGAGTATTCCTCTCTCTCTCTCTCATCACCCCCTCTAGAATTGTAGTATGTTAATATTGTAGATTATATTAAAAAAAATTCCATTTTAATTTTAAACATACTATCATATTTTAAGAGATAAATTTTACAAGTAAAAGAAATAAAGTTGATAGAGCTTATGACGTAATGGTCTCATTTGATTTTATTTTTAAACTTTAGGGTTTAGGATAAACTTAAAAAATTAGAGAAATTATTCTGTGTGGATGTCGGATGTAGTTTTATGTCCAGAGGCGAATCAGGTGTAACCAAGTTAGTGGTATTGAGTTGTGGTACATAGTAGTATTGAGCAGTGGTACACTATGAAGGAATGATGCGATGCATTTTGATTGGTCTACGGACAGTATTCGACGTTCGTACATAATAATTAATTGAAATTATATATGATATATGTCAAACATTAAAAAAAAAAAAGACTGCATCATTTTTAATGCAATGCATTGGAATCAACAATCAAATATCTTCTTTAAAATTTAAGTGAGAACAAATGAGCAACTTTGCTCCAAATATTGAAGTTATTTTGTAAAATTACAATTTATTGTATGTCTCTTCTTTGAGCTTATTGCATGAGGCAAAAAGTAAGATATTGATAAAGTATTTCTCATAGACTTGGCATTGATAAAAAATATGTTGAAGTTAATGAGTTACGAGTTGTTTGAAGGAAACTTAACACTCATCCATCCATTAGAAGTAAGTATTATGGGTAGTTGGGTACCCATGAGTATCCTCAAGAACAACAAATATTTATCTCCCGAGCAAGCCAAAAAATTAGCCGAGATTGCTATTTGACTATTTAGATGTTGCATCTCCTTAATATTTATAAAAAGGTTTTATAGTTTGAATTGTCTTGATCTTCTCTAGGTTTTTGTTTAATTCCTTGATAGGTGGCTGTGAATATAAAAATTTTATTTGAAATAAGCCCAAAAGCACACTTAGTTAAATTGAGGCCCTTATCATAATGTTGGAGGAGCTGAAAGCATTGTCCCAAGTTTGATATATGTTGTGCTCTTTTAAACAATTTTATTAGCATATTATGAACATACACTTATGTTGTGTGCTCATTAAAATCTTTCATACTCCTTTTGTACTTTCTTTTTAATCAATGCAAATGCAATCTTCAGCTCATTAAGATCTTTCAAGGCCTTGTTCATGAGATGTTGATAGATAACACCTTCATTTTTTAATTGAAATGACATAATTCAATATCTCGAATGAATAAAGTAGTTCTTTGATTAGTGGAATTTACCTTTGTCTAATTACATCTCGAATAAGCATACATGAAATTGAGAATCTAATCATCAGAGGTTGCATCTACCAATGGATCTATATATATCCTTTAAGTTTGTTCATATTTGTGTAATCTACATATATCCTTCAAGTTCTAATAGCCTATTTTAACATAACCATACTTGCTAAACAAGTGGGATAATGCACTCTTGGATGAATCTAACATCTAAGAGTTTGTCAATTCTTTAATTACTTTTAGATGGTTTATTGCAAAGTTTCTCTTCTTTTGAATTATAGGCTTTAACATTAAATTTATTTTGAGGGAGTTTTAAATTATCTTGCGATCAATTACAAGCATATATGTCAGACTACAAATCAACATGTCTTATTTTATTATAAACAATCTACATATACTAACTTCTCTTTAAATAGCAAACAATTGACTTGTATTGTTTGTACTCAATGTTTATCCAATAGCGAGATATGGACTTATTCATACACTAGTAAGGCCCTTTGATGTATATCTTCATCCTTTATATTAATATTTTTTTATGCTTAAAGTTATTGATGATCCTAATTGAGCTAGCCTATGGTAGCATGAATATGCCACTTGTTGGTATCCACGTATTTCACTAAGTACTACACTAGCAGTTGAGAACTTTATTTTCATTGCAAAATGTTGACTAGAGGGGCCTCTAAAAAATAATATTATAAGTTGGATCTAATTTAACTACTATGTTTTGAATCAACAGAGTCACTTGTCAAGGAAATTCATCAAGTTTAATAGAGAGTGAGATTATTTCTTTTTCCCTAATTATTTGATTGGAAAATTCATATAATGATTCTACAGCTAAAAAGATCTTCTTACTGACCAAATCCAAGCTAAGGAATATAGACTAGAACAAGATGTCTACAAAACTTCCATTATCAATTAGGATTCTGTTAATGTTGTGGCAAAGATCGTCACTCCAAACATTGATAAAAAAAAGTCGATTTTAAAGTGACATCTATATCCCTTTAAATTTGAAAACATCATATGTGATATAATGATTATCATGTGGTTTCTTCCATGCTGGCACTTCATTTGTGGTGGGAAAAAACTTGAAGAAATAGTAAAGGTCCTTTGGTGATGGTCTCAATCTCTTCGATCATTAGACGGTTGCCTTTTTGTTGCTCTGTCCCTCTCATGTGGATTAGAGTTTGCCCAAACATATTAATTTTGAATGAACTAATGAATGTAATCTTAATACATTAGCCTTTCATACAAGCTTCAGTGGCTTGTCCATAGCTCTAATGAAAATAATAATAATGCTCTTGATTTCTAGTGTTTGGGCTTTATAAATTAGGCCACTTATAATTCTACTCATATAAAATGGCCATAAAAACATTGGCAATATGAGTTTGGTAAAGTGTACTACTTTTAGTATCTACATTCACACTATTGCTAAGAAGTCTAAGGAGGAGGATAAAGATTTATTTGCTCTTCATGTATTCTTTGCTAGAATTTTTTGGTCGCACATTCTTAGTTATTTGTCAAATATTTGTCTAAATTAATTCTGATGTGTGTTGACTATCCCATTGGCAATAATTTGTTCTTCTACTCTATTAATAAGGTGAACATAAGAGTATAATATTTCCTATATTATTGAGGAGTACAAAGGTCTAAAGCAGAGATCTCTTTGAAAAATGGCTCACAATGGTTCAAGATATACTCCTGACTCCTGAGATTTGATAAGCATTAGAAGAATTTTTTTAAAACTAATTCTATAATATTTCTCCTTCATTTTGGAAAATTCTCAAAATGATGAGAGGAGTCCTTGACAATTTACCAATTGGTGACAATTTGTTTGGCTAAAAGTCAGTGAGATTGGTCAAGTTGTGGATAGTAGAATAAAATCAAGAATAGGCTTGCTCAAAGAAGTGCATCAGAAGCTTGAAGTATATACATGATAATCATAAGGTGATATATATGCTCATATGGATCAAATGAACTATCATAATTATTTATGATAAATATCTTAAACCTCAATGCAATGAAATGTTGGAGAATAATATCAGTCAATAGCAGATGCTTCTAAAATTTTTATGGAAAGTTAGTGATTCCTATCACTAAAAGGAAATTCTTCTTCGAACAAGATACTGCAACTCATACCATATGATATTATGGGGGTGTTCATAATGTGAGGATTGGCCAGGTCCACCAAAGTTATTGGAGGATTTGTGAGTCTATTGAGTAACACGAGAAGTATGAGTTGAGTTGGTAGTGTTCATAAGTATGAAGATAAGGGGGTCTTGTTTTGGCATATTCAAATTGTATAGCCCAATTATATTATTCATTTTATGGCTAGTGAGCTTTATCATGTTGTGATGATATTATTTGTTGGCCAGCCTCCAAAAGTTAAAAATTTAGATGTGAAGATCCATAATCATGTATATTCGTTGCCCCAAGGAGAAGCTTTGGGGACCTGCTCAAGTTGACTATGAAGACTTTAGTTGTGAGGTTGATTCCCAATTTGATTAGTTTTGGAGGGAGAAAATGCATTATTATAGCATTATTCTTTTTAACTATTGACCTGTTGTTGCAAGGATACTAGATTGAGTAACCACAAATGATAATAAATTGTTATATGCTAGAAAATTCACACCAATAGATAAAGTATTATATCTCAGCCTTGCATCAATATTTCATACATAAATAAAATAAAAGCACATAGAAAAATAAAAAAAATATATGTGAAATTTTCAAAAATAGAAAAATTGTGGGGCTTACCTTCATTATTCTAGCGTTATAAGAGTTCATTACCCTCTGCTGGAGAAGACAACATTATAAAGTATAAACTTTAGCTTGATCTCCTATGACAACTAAGAATGTTAGGGAAGTATGGAAGGGTGATTATAACGTTAGAGAGGCATCACTAGGGAATTGGCAACATGATGATTGTAATCATACTATAATAGTTAGATGATGATAGTCATAAGATGGTGGTCGGATGGCAATGAATGGAGAAGTCTAAAAGGTAATGACAGTTGGATGATTGTGAATGGAAAATGATGAGGACACAATGATGGTCAAATGGAGACATGGGTGACAACAAGTGGAGTTGCAAAATGACGCCAAATGGGTGATAATAAGCGGAGTTGCTTGCGATGGACGTAACTTCGAACATTAGGTAGGTTTTAGATCTCTAAGCTCTCACCAATAAATTAAAGTCTCCTCTATGTGTAGAGTGGGTTCTATTTATAGTTTTAAGAATGAAATTTGACAAAGCTTGTCAAAATTCCAAAACACTCTATTAGATGTTTCATATTATTATTTTTTAATTATAGGCTATTCTTTCATCATTTAGGTGCATTAAGCTCTTCATAATGGAGTGATCTCGGGGTTGCTTAATTTCTCTCATTGATACACTCATTTTGATTATATGCATGCAAAAATCAAATATCATTTGATCATTTAATTAATATCCTGAAATTTCTTGTCACAATTAAGGTACATAATTTGGTTTCATTTGGACTTAGATTAAATCACTATTGGCATTGTTCTGTTCGTCTTGTGTAGACATTTACTTTGATTATTGTTGAAATTAAATTTTGGATGGTCTTGAAATTAATTTCAAAAGTTTCAATTTGAATATTACATTGAGATTAATGCTTAATTAAATGAATTTTCTAATGATAAAATTTATTATACTTTATATTATAATTATTTTATTAATTATTAATTTTTTAATATTTTTTCTATCTTTCATAATATAATACTTGAAATTAATTTGTGACTAGTCTTGTTGACAACTTGTGAAAGATGAGAAGTTTGGTGACGGGATTTTTACGCAGCTAATCTTAATTTATTGGTTTGGAGCTATCAATCAAGAAATTTTAGGTTCGAAGTATGTGTATGTGATTTGTGTATGAATTTGACTTTATTGACCTAAACGTCAAAAAGAAGAAGTGATTAATATATTATTCAGAAATTTTAAATCTTATATAAATAAATATTAAATTTTATGTTAAATAATAAATATATTATTATAATAAATTGATTTCTACATATCCCTTGATTTTTTTGAGCAACGTATGAGAGAAAGTGACCAATTTTTTCACAACAGAAAAATCAAAAGGTACTCCTTTCTCCACCGAACTCAGAAGAATCTGATCGTCACCGGCATGGGAGGCTCCACCTCCGCCGCCTTTTCGCCATCATCTTCCGGCTCTTTCTTCTCAAGTTTCTGCACATCCGCTCTCCGTAGGAAGAGCCATCTGCGCTCAGACGAAGTGCACACTAACTATGGCGAGGGCCTTGTTCGCGGCCTCGGTCTCTTCGAACTCCTATTGTTAGGGATTGGAGCTTCCATTGGAGCTGGGATCTTCGTCGTCACTGGTACGGTTGCGCGAGACGCTGGGCCCGGTGAGATTTCGCTCTTCTCATTTTATTCCCCAAATTTTACTTGCATTCGTTCTCACTTTTATCTGTTTATTTTGTTTTTTTTTTTTAAATAGTTTAGTATGCTTTTCAATATTTCTTTTAATTCTAACTATGATATCCATCACTAGGTTGATACTTACCTTGTTTTTAATGTTATGAAAATTGGACTGATTAAAGTGACGCAAGATAAGAAAGTTGGAAAATAGTTCACGTAAAAAAAAGCGAATTAAATATTTTTTTTTTCTCAGTATTGTAGAAATTTGGATAGCAAGGATGAAACCATCAGAATTGAAGTGCTCCACACTTTACTGCCAGCAAGGAACATTATTCTCTTAGGGTCTTTTTTGTTTGAAGAAGGGTTGATATTTAGTCAAATTTGAGCTAGCCGGTCTCAACTCAAAAACAAACACTTAGATTTCAAATTTAGTAAAAAGGTGATCAATTACTCAACTTACCATCAGATTTGAACCAAGCCTATTCACTCTTTGAAATATTTTTAAATTATTAATCAAGTATTTTATTTATATGCATGTACTTAGTATTTTCTTATGAAATTATATCATGAAATTTAGTAAGTTGTTAGAGAGTGAACCAAAGGGAATCAAAGTTGGGCTAGATGCACTAGTGGTAAACTCATTTTCAACCAAAAAAATTAAGTTTATAGGTGAGAGCCAACTAGTTGGTATTTTAAAATCAACATATTTTCAACTACTTGATGTGAGACTAAACTTAAAGCCTTATGTGAGAGCTTTCTACATTAGTCATCATTCTCCCTTAAATGAAAGCTTTATTAAGTATCATGCATCAAGAGTCTTCTTGACCATGTGCAGGGGTCGTGTGAGTCACCCACTCTTGAATCTTGCTCATTCATAGTTGATGCAGATCAAGATCCATGGGAGCTACAAAGTTCATAAATTATTTAATTTCAACTAAATCATCAACTTGGATACCACTTGTTGATGAGTGAACCAAAGAGGGATAGAAGTTCAATGATATACAAAAATTGTCTCATCTCTTTCCAAACCACAAGTTCTAGCCTATGACTAGGGTCAACCACTTGATATTCTTACACTAACATATTTTTCAACAGCCAATATTGGATTAAACCAAAAGCCTCATGTGCCTTAATATATGTATACATAACAATTTGCACTAACATATACATTATTTCATAAATGCATAGATACACGAGCACATATGCTGTAAAAACTCATATATACATGCACTTATTATATATTGATTTGATTTTCATTAAATCATATTAATTTGGAATGATCAGTCTTTGAGTTGGAGCAATCGATCTCTATTTAGATTATATTAAATTTCAAATAATTATTGAGTAAGTTACAGTAGGACATAATTATAAACCAAAATTTGAGGGTGTTGCAAGTCAAAAGGAAATGGTAATGAAAATGATGAAGGGATTAAATTGAGAATTGCTTTGCCTCACTTGTTTGGTTGACGAGAAATTAAGTGAAAAGACATTTTTCCTTTCTTATTTGGTTGCTGAGAAATTGAGTTATTGTTCCTTGTGAGGAAAGGGGCAATCATGGTGATAGCACAGTAAATGAAAATATGCATTTCTTCACAGATTTTAGGTAAGTTCCATTCCGTAGTAATACATATGAACCAAACACCCGCATAATTGTGAAGTAGAATGCATTTATGTTTGCTCAAACCCCTTAGACCAATATGATCCTTAATTTTAGTTCTAACTTTCTGGAAAGTGCTAACTGTACTAGATTTCACACTTGACCACTTATTCTCTCTTGATCAATTGATAGATAGACTTCATGCAGAGATGAATGCCATTTTTGAGCTTGAAGATCTTTTTGGCTTAGGATAATGCACAACTTTATTCATCTTGTTGTTTTTATGTTGCTCTTTTAATTTTCACCTGTTGACTGCTTGATTCTTTGCAGGTGTTACCATTAGTTTCATTCTTGCTGGAGCAGCATGTGTGCTGAATGCCCTCTGTTATGCTGAGCTTGCATCACGGTTTCCTGCAGTGGTTGGCGGTGCATATTTGTATTCATATACAGCTTTCAACGAGCTTACAGCATTTCTTGTCTTTGCACAGCTAATGCTGGATTACCATATTGGTGCTGCAAGCATTGCACGCAGCCTAGCCAGCTACTGGGTCTCTCTTTTAGAGCTCTTTCCATTTCTTAAGGGCATTTTTCCAAGCTGGATTGGGCATGGAGGCTCGGAAGTTTTTGGCGGAGTCCTTTCCATTAATATCTTGGCTCCAATATTGCTGCTTATTTTAACTGTAATTCTTTGTTATGGTGTTAAAGAATCATCAGCAGTAAACTCATATATGACTTTGCTGAAGGTATTTTCTTACTCCATTAAGCTTGTTTACCTAGTTGATCATTCTTATTAGCATGCATTGCGCATTTTATTCTACTCAATGAAGCATGAACACTTCCAAATGACTTCCGTTATGCCGGGCGCATGCATGACTATGACATACCCCAATGTTTGTCCAACACTTCAGAAATTGTCAAATTCTCGTATTATATTAGTTCTCTAGCAGCTTGTGACATGATCTCTCGATCGTGCCCTTCAGCCGAAGTTACAATCTCTCTCTACGCCTCTTCGTTCAAAGCCATCGCGAATCTCCATCTCTTTGGTCTAAGCCATCTCATGTCTGATCTTCTTGAAAGTTGATTGTGCCCTATTCAGCCATCTCCTAAGTTGAAGACAGTCAAAGCTCTCGACTCCACTTTTCTTCGAAGCCAATCACAATTGTGCCATAGCCAGCCCCAAAATAACGAAGTCATAGAGCTTCGAAGTTGAGGATGACCATGCTTGAACCTCCACTCTTCTTCGAAGTTGATCATGCCCTAGCCAGCCATCCCAAAGTGAAGGGCTTAGAAACCATGTTGTATTGTTTTTGTGTCATATTGATAGCTTCTATATAATTCAGCTCATAATTTTATAAATTCATATTTTTAGTATTTTACTTCATTGTTCATATGCCTTAAAAATTTGAACTAAAATGATTGGAATTTCCTCAAATGATTGATTTTATCCATTAAAGCCATTGATTGACATTTGGGGTTTAATTGTGTTTGATTTTACCAAAAGGAGATATACATCATTTAGTTCTTTTTTTAAGAAAAGAGAATTAATTTATTTGAGCCTCATTAATTAACAACTGAGAACTTTTAATGAGACTGATTTATATACGTACATTTCTTATGGTTAGCGTCTTGATTAGGGGTCTAGATAGCCTTATCCCATGCCTTTCAAGTTCTTTTCCATTCATTCCCATTTAGTACTATAGGTGCTAATGATGAAATCATCGATCAACGGTTCAGACACGTGTATCGCCGGAAGCATCGCCGATCGATGGCCACGATTCAGAGCTTATATTTTTAGTTATTCATGCATTTTCAGTTTTCAGTATTCCTGTTTTACCCTTGTGTGTGAGTGAGTTATGTTGGGGCCCCGAGGGCGATTTAGTCATTAGTTATGCTTTTATTTACTTGTATCTCATGACCTATATATAGGGGTCATGTATCATTGTATGAGGTTAATGAATTATTGAATGAAAATTTGGTTTCGTTTCTTCTTACTCTTCTTGCGTGAGAGCTAGAGAGAAGTGAGAGAGAGAGCCCAAGGTGAGGGCCAAAAGCAACACCCACCAGTCATTGGAAGAGTCCGTGACTCGTGGCTTATCCTCGTCATTCCGCTCTTTTTCGTTTTCCCCAAACCCGCCGGCCCAAAGCTCCCCAACCCGCCGGCCCACCACCCCTTTATTGCCGCCGGTGAACCACCTCCTCACCGACCCCCCCCCTCTCTTCCCCATCCTCTACAACGGCTAATTTCGAAATTCGAAATTTTGAATTTCGAAAACTTTCCAAATTTGGAACTTCCAAATTAGGAAAGTTTTAACTCCGATTCATGACGAAATTTCAAATTCAAAGGATTTCAATTTAATCCTCCCTCAATGTCATGAGCCGATTTGGAAACCCAAACCCTTGCTCCTCACACAAAATCTTTCCCCCCATGATGCCGCCGGCCACCTTGGATGGGCCCCCTTCCATGTCCTTTCATGGCTCCACTTATGCATTAATTTTACCCT